TCCCACCCCACATCAGGCACCAAAAAGGACTGTGGTGGGTTCACTCAGGGTGGATGCCAGGTGCCCACCAAGCCACTCTATCCCACCCCCCTTCTCAGCTGGACAGGGGAGAGAAGGATAAGATGGAAAACAACTCGTAGGTTGAGATAAGGCAGGTCAGCAAAGCAAAAGCGAAAGGTTGCGCATGCACAAGCAAAGGATAAAAAACCAAAGATTTTATTCTTTACTTCCCATCAGCAAGTGATGTCCGGCCACTTCCTGGGAAGCAGGGCTTCAGGAAACAGAGCAGTTCCTCTGGAGGCAAATGTTGCAAAAACCAATTGTTCCCCACTTCCTCCTCCTTTTCCTAGCTTTTATATCCAAGCAGACGTCATATGGTATGGAATATCCCTTTGGTCAGCTTGGGTCAGCTGGCCTAGCTGTGTCCCCTCCCAAGACCTTGCCCACTCCCAGCCTACTGGTGTGGGGGCAGAATGTTGGAGAGGCAGAGCTGAGGCTGTGCCAGCGCTGCTCAGCAGCAGCCAACACTCTGGAGTGCTATCAGCTCCTCTCCAGCTCCCAGTGCAAAACACAGGGCTGTGCACAGGGCTGAGCTCCATCTCACCAGACCCAACGTGGGGTCTTAAGCCACAAAGTTAACCCACAATTCTCAAGCAAGAGCTGGAAATTTAAATACAGGTACCTCTTTTTAAAAGTTCGGTATCACCCACCTTTCTTCTCCTTCCACCACTGGTAAGCTGCTTATAAAGTGAACCAAAGGAATAAATTAATGTGGGAATCCTGGCTGCAACTGGGGAATGCCACCAGCCCCTCCTCAAAACTGCCCTGGCCACTAATGCAGCTTTTCTGGGGTGAGCAGGACACAGATTCCTTTGATTTTTTAAACTGCCATCAAAAATAAATGCTTACTGGGAAAAGTAATCTTGGAAATGTAATCTTAAACTAGGGAGAAAACCTTGATACTGTTCACAGCACTTTCTATACATACTGCATTTGCTCTGCAGCTCTTCCTCATGGTATCATTCCTCATGCTTGTTATATTTGGGACTTCAGTAACAGCTGGGAAGGTAGGAAACTGCATGGATCATTATTAGCTTGATTATTTCTTTTCATACACTACTTTCGCTCACACTACTTTTCATACTCAGAAATTACCAGCTCTTCTGAGCCATTCATGCACAAGGGTGGGGGGAGGTGTATGTACATATAGCAAACAGGCCATGAGAATGATGATAAATCTAAAACAACAGAATTCACTACAAAGATACATTGTTTTGAAGCATTTATCTTACAGAATTTTTAAAATTATATTCTTTGCAACTGTTTACAGTGCTTTTATCTCTTTCATTGTTACTACAACTTAAAAGATTAACTAAAAATACCCTATGAAAATTCAAACAGTGGAGCAGTCCAATTGGATTGTATTTATTCTGCACACTCCAAGAAATTAGGATACAGGTTATCAGCAAATGTGCTTAATTAGTAAGAAACCTTATTAAGCCTAATGATACCAGCAGCATGGTGAAGGTTGCTGCTGCTCAGTGGAGACAGTAGTTCTGCTTGACTGGGATGCTTTCAGATGGTGCAATTGTTGAAACTGATGCTCTGCTCTGCTGGTTCAGGCTTGCAGTGGTTCTCTCGCTCTCTCCCCAGCTGGCTGGGAACATTTTGCAATTGGAGCTGACATAGCACCCAAAGGGCTCCCTGACTGATGCCTTTTACTTTCCAACTCGTGCCTCCAGCAGCACTTCTGCACTGCCAGCTGGCCCACTGCACAACAAATCTGCTGCCGAGGACAGGGACGACTCCGGGGCAAGGTCTGCTGTCAGCTGCCTTGAGTGTTGAACCACCACTTTTCAGGAGTTGGAACGACTTTATCATCAGCTCAAGGGTTCAGCAACACAATACAGACATACCTGCTACCCCTACCACACAGAAGAGCAGCAATTACAGCTGCCTGAATGATGTCAGTGAGAAGTTAAAGAAGTTTGTGACTCCTGCTGTTATGACCTCCTCCTCAGAAAATACACAATGATTTTTATACTTTGCATTGATGCTGCAACACCTGAGAGCTGTTTACTAACCTGTAGGAAATGGAGATGAAGCCTCAGCTCAGCTCCTAGAGAAGCCTCCCTCTCACACAAACCTTTTGTTGGCAGCCTCAGTGGGAAAGGGTCAGCAGGAGAGTCACATGTTTTCTCAAACCAGGCAGATGATCTCCCCAAATCACTCTGCTGGCCAAAATAAGAAAGTTTGCAAAATAGCTGATCTGTCATGCAGAAATTACAAAAATTGGCTCAAAAGATAGAAGTTTCTTGTGGCCATTGAATTCACTGTGAATAACTAAGACAGCATTTTAGACGAAGTACCAAAGCCAGGACAGAGTTTGCACAGTCAGCAGCGCTTGGCAGTGTGTCAGTATAACACAAGATGGCTCCACTTCCATCAACAAAGAGCTTAGTGCCACTGCAGAGCCCCTTGCATCCAACTAATCGTGCCCATCGACTGAAACCAGACCTTTCAGGCTGTCCCGTGCCAGTGCACTCAGCCCTCAGGGCCAAGGAGCAGAACAGTGCTGCAGCCTGCAACAGGGTGAGCTGGAAGGTAACACAAGCCTGGGAAAAAATGTGGAAAGGGATGTAACTCCAAGCTGCTTTACAGATCAGCAGCTGTCTTCAGCAAAAGACTGAAAAATGGGGGACCACAGCCAGCCTTCAGTAGCTGGAAATATTTAAGGGCAGTATAAATATGGCTCTACTGATCCATCTATAGCTGAACATTCTTACCATCCTCTTTTGCATTTTTTTTGTTTGCTTCTGGCTTTTCACATTTAAAATATCCCTCACAATCAATGCAGACATTTTGTGGAAAAGGCTTGGTTTGAAACCTTGTCTGCACTAGTTCCTATATACAGTTTCACTGGGGTTTTGCGAGTACAGCCCTGCTGCTAAGTATTGATGTTCTCAGCATAGGCTGGTGGGAGAACACCAGAACAGCAGAGGCAGAAAAGACCAGAAACATCAGCATCAGCCACAACAACAGCAGGTGGAGGCACAGAAGAGTGGGACAGACCAGTAAGCGTGCAGGGAGAATGGAAAACCAGAAGGCTTTAAAGATGAAAGGAGAAGGAAATGTAAGAGAGTAGAAAAATTACACACCAACCCTAAACCAGCTCGGGAGCAGGAGACAATTTGGTGCAGACACTTGCCCTGGGTACAGGTGCCTCAGTGTAACCTGACAGTCTGAAGGGGCTGGAAACATGCCTGCAGATGCACACACTTAGTGCACCTATTTGCAAGTAAAACAGGACTACTGAGTTATGTTTTTCCAGCAGGGAATTTCCATGCAAGGTGATGCAGTGCATTTTGGGGCCCATCAGTACATTTTTAGAAAACACTGAACCCCTTCAGCTGTCTTGCGTTCGGCTAGATCCAAAACCTTACTCCCTACAGAAGGATTTTTTGGAATACAAGGGTCATTTCAGTGGTATGGTTTCACTGTTCAGGAAACAAAACACCACCATCATACACAGAATGTTCTTAAAAAAACCAGTCTCAGGCTCCCATCTTTTTATGAGTCTTTCACCTGGTCCACTGGATTTCATAACTTTCACTTCCACAGCCTTCCTACTGCAGGTCCTGCCTGCTCCCTTCTCACCTGGATGAAGGCCTGCAGGGTGACAGGGAGATGAAATCTGCTCACCAGAAAGTCAGCCCCTCCAGCCAGGAGGTGAAGGAAACAGCCTGACCAAGCTTCACTGTCCATCCAAGGGACAGAGCACTGGGTGCCTGGCATAGCACCTGGCCATAGAAAGCAGGTTTTGGTATGGGGTGACCATGAAGAACAAAAAGGCCTGCCCTGGAACAGCTGCAGGAATACTTGGAAAATGCCAAAACACAAAAGATCCCAATAATAAACATGGAGTCACTTATATCCAGTGAAAAAAGCATTAAAAAAACTGAACAATACCAGCTCTGTACTATTGATTTTCAGATAAATGTCTGGGTCTGGGAGTGACTGCAAGCACAAAATGAGAAGATTTGGATAGAAAGCTGAATGCTATTTTGGCTCTCCTACGACCTTGCTGGCCATACATTCTATGAAGATTATCAGAACTGTAATTTGGTTACCACTACAACAGGTTCAGGCTTTCCAGCAGCAGCTTGCTGCAGCTGCTGAGGTCAAAGATCAATTTCTTGGGTTTTTGAGCTACATGAATGATCATTAAACAAGACTGCTAAAGAAGCAAACTGTCAAAGTCATTTCATTTATTTCTTAATATCACATCTGTACAATTTTCATACATACAGCAGGAAATGCACATTGGTTACACAATGGCATTTGGCTGCATTTCCAAGTATAATACAGTAAGTGCAACTCCACTTAAAATGTACATTTATACAACTTAAACAAATTAAGGATTGCTACACCACTATCTGTGACAGTATAAAGCTTCATTTATGTTATGTCTCATTACTAAACCACCTCCTGGTTAAATACAAAACATATTCAATCATTTAAAAATGGCCTTTGTGGTACCTGGCCAGCATATAAAATATCTGTTGTTTAAAATTTAACCATTAACTTTTTGTTTTAAAAAATAATCCTCTAAGCCTATTTAAACATTTGCTATTGAACTGTTATACTGACACTTTGTAGCAGGAACCAAATTTTACCCTCCTTTTGTTTGTTCTTGCTTATCACCAAAAGAAGTTACTTTTGCAATGTATTGCAGCTTTATTCAGATACAGCCAGGTGGTTAAACTATTTATCAATTTTACTCAAAAGGTAAATAACATTTTTCATTAAAGAAAACAAAATTACATTTCAGAGATATTTGTCAAAATTTTAATGGGTAGAGTGCTACCAGCACTAAAAAAAAAAAAAAAAGAAAAAAAAAAAAAGAAAAAAAAAAGAAAAAAAAAAGAAAAAAAAAGAAATAAAAAGAAATAAAAAGAAATAAAGAAAATTATTGATTTATCTTTTAAGAAAGACCCGAATATTCTTATAATTTTACTTTTGGAATACATTGGTCCACAGACCACATTCTTGTTACAGCTTACCAAATGAAACCCAAAATTTCTTATTGCCGTCCCTGTAACAGGAATGGTTCAGTTTTAAACCTCCTTTAAAAATATACATTTTACAATCCTTTCACCTCAACAAAGGTGACACTGACAATAAATACACTGGTTTGGTGGGTTTTTTCCTTCACTATGAAAAGTCCACAAACTACCTGTTGTATGCCCTTTCTTTTTTAGATTTCTCCAACGCCTTGTCCATAGTTTTCTCGTTTTCTCCTCTACATTTGGGGCAGTACCATTTGCCCTTTGGTTTATGGTTGAGTCCCACACAAGAAAAGTGAAACCATTCAATGGGGCACTCATCATTATCACATCCTATCATTTCTCCATAGGAGACTTGGTTGCACAAGCAGTATGTTGGCTCATTAGGGTCAATAGGAAGGTCAGGGGGAGAAGCTTCCCGCTCTGCTTTAGCCTTGGATCGTTTCTTCTTCTTGGATGTTTTTGCTTTCTTCTCCTTTGGTGTTCCTGAGGTGATGTCATCGTGATCATGATTATTTGAGGCATTTTCTCGGTTCTCATTATTCCGTTGCCTCCTCGATCTCTTGTTGTTGGGCTTTTCAGCCTGTGCGATTGTCTCATTCTTCGACTTATCCTGGCTGGCTTTCCCGCTGTTCCCAGTGGTGTCATTAGTCTCTTGACAAGTCTCAAACAGCTCCACGTGGCTGTCCACTTGCCTTGTTCTGTTCTCAACCAGCTCCACCATCTGACTGACGATTTGGATCTTCTCATCCCCCAGTTCCTGACTTCGAATCAAGGCTCTCTGTATGCAGTGCAACATTCTTCTCTTCTGCACAGCATCTGTCTCCCGTTTAAATTTTTCATAGTAATCATCCAGGTCCTTCAGAATCTCTGCAAAGAAGAAATAAAAACTATAAATATTTTTGACAGGGAGAATGGCAAAACAAAACCTCCCATTTTTCCTTCCATACAGCAACAACTTCTTGTAACATGCAGCTCCAATCAAAGACAGATGCCCTGAAGCTTGTACCTGACAGCAGCTCATGGCTCCACTGGACTGCTTTTGTTCTAGGTGGTCCCACAGGAATGGAATGCAAATGCTGATTTAGGAGAAAAAAAGTGACTAAATATATTTTTACGTATGTTGATAATGCTTCCCTTTAAACTTTCCAGTAATTAAAAAGAACTAACTAAACCAATACACATACCATCAAAAGTTCCAAGGTTAACTGAAAAATTAGAGGGGAAATTAGTGGACATCTTCTATATAACAACATTAACATTTTCAGTTAGAATGACAGAGTGGGAGAAAGAGAGTGGGACAGAAAGAAAGCACAAACCAGCCTAGGAGCACCCTGCTGGGTTACTTGACAGGAGATGCAGAAGCACCAAATACATAGTCTAGACCTAAAGCTATTTCATCCAATACTGTCGAGCTATTTCTGCTGAAAATATGAGGCCATGTAAATCCCTGGATTGCAGAACTAGGATTACAATATTCAGGATGTTTAGATTATTTCCCACCTATACTTTCTGTAAAATACATGTTGCTATTCTTTAAAACACAAAAATATTATCTTCATTAACTACTTACTGCAGAGCAGGAAGTAAAGTTAAAAGAACATTAGAGATGATAGGCAACAATGGGGAGCAGCTAGAGCTTCTGCTTTAAAATATATTACATCCTGAATTGCACCTCAAGGATTGTTCTAACAGTTTATAAAAACAACAATGCACAAAGTATCTAAAGCCTCAAGAATGGCTCTGGAAACCTCTTTTTAAGAAGATGTTTTTGAGTTTCATTATGATACCCAAATGAACTACAGCATACAGGACACTCAGCACTCCATATTAAGTCCTCAAAAACACACTGAATGTTGTTCCTGCATCTCCTTTCTTCTCTGAATTTTCCTTTTCTCACAGGTTAGAACAGTCTGTCTTAGAGAAGCAAAATATATTAAATATATATATATATATAAAATCTGACCTCAATTCATCTAAGAGAAACTAGGATCTCTCATACATGCCAATGACATTACCAAAATGTTTTTAAACTTACATTTTTCAAGTATTTATTTATTCATAGGAACATGTGACACATAGGCAAACCAAGAGTTATCCTGTGGTTTAGATTCTGGCTTTCCTCGGCAGAGTTTTTAAACATGATTTCCAGGGAAGACATAGAAATATTACGCAAGCTTTATTCAGATTTTAGAACTGCAGCTTGCGCTTCACACATTGGTTAAGCACGACCTGTCTGTCAGCTGGTTCTGCAATATAGCCTATCTGACCAAATCAGTATTCCGATATGTTATTAACCATTTTAAGCAACTTGTGTTTTTTTTAACCTACAAAAAAAGCCCAAAACAAAAATAAAAAATACCAAAACCTGTATGCCCAAGATGCCACCAAAAGATCCTTCAAACATACAGCAGATTCTACATTCGGGAAGGCTGAATACGCAGAGTTAATGGTTTTCAGTGGCTGAAATGCAGTTTTATGCTTTAAGCTTTGGCACTTGACTGATGCCATCAGTTTAACCCGTCAGAATCTGGTGGGTAGGCATCTTCTATGAAGAACGGTCTGTCTGAGCAGCACAAAACCATTACCGACGGAAGTTCGGCGCCGGGAAAACTTCGGTTCCAGCACTGCCCGCTGCCATTCCCGCCCGGCTGCGGGCTGGGATCCCGCCGAGCGCGGCCCGGCCCGGGCGTGTTTGGCATGTGCGACACGGAGCGGGGGCCGCGCAAAGCCGAGGGCGCTCAGCCCCGGCGCCGGGAGCGCAAAGCCGCTCGCTCGGTGCTGAGGGAGCCACCGGGGCCGTGCTGCGGCTCGGGCTGGCTGCAGCTGCCGCCGCGGCAGCCTCGGCTCACGGCGATTCCAGGAACCCGCGCTGCCGCGCCGTGCTGCAACAGCGGGAGCGGAGAGCTGCGCTCTGAGGCACTGGCGAACGCGCGCTCCCGGCATCACAGACACCACTCAACCGGAGGGAAGCCATGCCGCCGGAGCTTCGCTACCAGCGCAGCTCCGCGGCCTCACGGGGGCTCCGACGCCGCGGAACGACGGCGAGCGGGACACGGGCGAGAGCCCGGCCTCCTCCCCGCCCCTCTGCGGCGCCCGGGGCCGCCCCGGAGGTGACGGAGCCGCCATTGTTCTCGGGCAGGAAACCGGGACGTCCCCGCGGAACCCGCGGCGGTCCCGGGGGCGCGGGGGGGGGCGGGGCGGCCCCGCCCCCGCCGTCCCGAGCGGGGCCGAACGGGCTCTCCCGGGGCAACAAACGAGTGATTGACAGGGAGCAGCGGCCAATCACGACGGGCGGGAGCAAGCTGGCGCCCGCCCCCTCCGGCCAGTCACGAGCGAGGTGCGGCTGGAGCAGCGGCGCCCACTCCCCCCCACCCCGACACGTCAGTCACTCTCCGGACGGCCAAGGTTGCCCCGCCTCCGACTGTGAACCCGGCCAATCAGAGCGCGCCGGCCGGGGCCGGCCGAGATATTCAAATCAACCCCACGGAAAAGTTGCTTCTCGAAACGTCACGACGGGGCGGGGGCGCGGGACGGGCCGGCCCGGCCTTGGAGCCAATCCGCGCGGGGAGGCGGGGCACGGCCGGCCCGTGGGGACGCCTCCGCCCTATCAGCGCCCCCGACGGGCGCGGCCAACCGCGATATGCTAACGAGGTCTGTCTATAAAAAGAGCGCGGACGCCCCTTCCTAGCACAGCGCGGAGGTGCCAGCTGGACGTGGTTTCTTGGGGCGCGATGTCCGCCTTGTCCTTTTCTTCTCTTCCCACCCCGAAAGCCCCCGCGGGCTCCTGAAGAAGTTTCCCCCGGACCCTTCCCCCGGGAGCTGACGGGCTCCCATGGTGAGCTGCCCGAGGAGCGGCTGAGGCAACGGCAGGCAGGGCTCGCTGCCCGCCGCCCCTAAGGCCACATGCACGGGGGCGCGGGCAGGGAGAGGGGGTCCCCCCTCCCGGCACCCCGGCTGTCACCACTACCTGCGGCACAGAATAAAGCGCCCCCCCTCCCCCTCCTTCCGAGCGGACGCCAGCGACCAAGTGACAAAGCTGCCCCGAGTCCCGCAAACCGGCCTTCCCTCCGCCCGTGGGGACGGGGACGGGGACGGCGTGCCCCGAGCGCGGGGAGGGAGGGGGGCGCTTCAGCCCGGCCGTAAACGCGACCGTGTGTGCCGTCCCCCCCCATTCACACCGCACACGCCGGTCCTGCCCCTCGGCCCCCCCGCCCAACGGAGCGGGGCTGTTTCACCGGGTGAGACGAAACCCACCGAGGAGGGAGCGAAGAAAGCACACCCTGCCCCCCACTCTCGCCTAACCCCCCTCTCCTCCCTCCCTCCTTCCCTCCCTCCTTCACTAGCTGCCTCTCTCCCCTACTACAGCCATAATGAATACTGTACATTCCTAAATGTTGTGCTGTAATCTCTTCCCCCTCTATCCACCCAGCACTTTCTTCCGTACCCCCAAACCCTTCCACCTCAGCCCCACGGCCAGGGACGGCCCCCCTTTGTGCACCGCACACCCCACTTCCCTGCCCCCGCCTTCTTGGCCAGCAATTTACACAGAAAAGCAGAGTCCTTGCTTAATAAGAAAAGCCGGAGACCTTTTGTTCCGCCCCATGACAAGAGCTAACGCTGCAGATCAGTCCCTCTCTCTCCTCGGATCTTTCCTCCCGGCTTTCTTCCTCCTTTTACCTCTCAAAAATAAAGCTACCATCCCTGTGGGGTGCAGAGGGGCAAACGGAGCCGAGGCTCAGCTCTAAAGAAAAGAAAGGGAAAGACACCCTCCCCCCCTGAGCCCCAAACCACATACACGGACACACAGATATATAGAAAACACTTACCTTGATATTTGGCGTCAATTTCCCTCATCAAGGAGACATTTCTCTGCAGATCGAAGGGCATAGACTCGATGGAGTCCAGATAATCCTCCACATAGTTCACTAGGTGAAGCTGGTCTCCGTTTGCAGGACTCAACATTTTCATCCGGCAAAGAAACAAAAATCCTTCCCCACACCTCTCCGTGTGAGAGCAAGTGCTGCTCCCTTCAAAGACGGTAACCCCGATGAAGGTCTCACTCCCTGCCCACCTCTCTCGGTAGCTCCCCCCAAAAAAACCGAGGGAAGCTACATCTGACTCCTCTTGTGTGAAAAAGAGGGAGAGAGAGACACACACACACCCTCCGCTAGTCCCCTACAGCCAGCAGCAGCTGATTGAATGGCTGTCGTTGTGGGTAATTCACGAAGGAGGTGGTAAGAACAATCAGAGGGATTTGTGTGTGTGTGTGTGTGTGTGTGTGTGTGTGGGGAGGGGAGGGGGGGAGGAGGAGGAGGAGAAAGGAGGGGGGCTTAAACCAGCTCCTCCGAAACAATCTGGAAACAAAATGTGCTCTGCAAAGTGTCTGTCAGAGGCAGCGGCAGCCCCTCTGCCTGCGCCAGCGCCGCTCTGCTCTGCTTCTCCTCCGCTCCCCCCTTCCCCGCTCTCCTCCTCACCGCCGCCGCCGCCGCCGCTCCCCGGCGATATCAACGCAGCCTCCTCGCTCCCATACGCCGCGCTAGATCCAACGTGGAAAACCCAAATACCAGTTTCAAACACTTGGGAAACATTCGGCCCCGCCAGCCAGGGCGCATGCGCTCTCTCCCAGCGCTGTGTACACACACACACACACACACACACTCTCTCTCTCTCTCTCTCACACACACTCACCGCACACACTCAATCCCTTCCCCCGCCCGGAACCTCCGCATATCCATCGGCCCGCCTCCCTTACTCACGTTTGGGGAGGGAGGGAAGGCGGCGGGGATGCGGGCCGAGCCAGGGGGCGGGCGGCGCAGGGCCGGCGTGGGCGTGGGGTGAAGGAAGCCCCGGGGAAGGCGGAGGCACCGGTGAAGTTGTGCGGAGGCTGCGAGGCGAGCGGCCCGCGGGGGAGCTGGGGGGGATCGCGGGAGCAAGTGAATGCTTTTGCGGTAGGGTACCAGGACTTTGGAGGAGTCTCGCCTCCTGCCAGCTCGCCCCGGGATGGAGCGGCTCCGAAGCCCTTCCTAGGAGAGGGGAACACTGAGAACCATGCGACGCCACTCGGCGCTGCGGGCAGGGCTGTGCCCGGCGCGGCGCCGGACGCTGAAGGGAACCGGGGAGCGTTCCGTCCCTCCCTCCTCAGCAGGCACCCGCATCCATCACCCCGCGGCGCCTGACAGCCGCCCCAGCCAATCACCGCGCCCCTCGCGTCCCGCCCCGCGGCCCCCTCGGCCAATCCCCGCTGTGACACCGCTGCCCGGGATACCGCGCGCCGCGGCAGAGGAGGCGGTAACGCCCGAGGGAAGGGGGCGGGCCTGCGCACGCGCAATTCCTCTGGCGACGGGGAGAAAATGGAGCCGTTAGGGACGCGGCGCGACTACGTTTCCCAGCGGTCTCCGGGCGGGTGCGCATGCGCGAGGCAGGGCTGGCTGGAAGGCGGGAGGGAAGGAAAAGGAAAGGAGGGAGGGAGCCCGAGCCAGCGAGCTTGCTGCGGCTGCCTTGTCCCGTACAGTGGCGAGGGAAGGGTCACCGGGGGACGCCGCCGGGGCTGCGTTGTACAGGAGGCTGGCGGCGGAACGCCCCCGCCCCGCATGGTTGCCGGCGGAGAGGGCTTACTGCCGGCAGAAGGGGAGCCCTGTGCTCTCCACCAGAGTGTCCCGGCGGTCGTGCGGAGGAGCCCCGCTGTCGGTCAGCATTGCCTTTGTGTCCTGGAGTCGCTGCCATGTCCCGGAGGCTGCAGGCACCTGTCTCTGCCGGGATCGAGGAGCGGGGAAGGCGGGGCTGGAAGGACCTACCCCAGCTCTGCTGAAGCAAAACAACGTGCGCTTTCTGCCTCTTGTTGTTTTAGCAGACGTCACCGGCAATCCCCTAATTTAGGGGAGACTGAGTCATCACTTGTGAGCGCCCGGACTCGCTGGTGCAGTCGCTGCTCAGTGAGGCCCTGGCGCTGTGCTCGCTGCGGGAGCGGCGGCCTGGCCGGGCACCTCAGCCCAGGCTGAGCCCTGTTCAAAGGCTCTGCTGCTGCCAGCAGCTTGGTGTGTGAACCCAGAACTGGGGCTCTCAGGGAAGAACAGGCACAGTTTAGCAATACTTCCAGTATCCTCCCTCCCACCCTCCAGTGGGGGACATGCACCCAAATACTTTCTGAGGAGTACAGACGGTACCACAGACCAAACTCTCTGAACTGATACCAACCCGCTGTTTCGGGCAGATGTCAGAGGGCACTTCCTTGTTTTCTGAAGATCCCTGTAAGTTCTCCCGTTATTTTCTTCCTCTTATTTTCTGTTTCCAGGAGTTGCTGTAAAAAAAATGAGTTGCTGAAGTAAATAAATCCCACATACACAAGGTCTCAGGTTTTTAACTTAGAAGCACCATGGCATGTAGGCATTGCTCCAAGCCAGTGTTTCTGGACCAGTGTGCTTTGGTTTACTGTGGCATAGAGAAGGAGTTGTCTAATGGCTGCACTAGCCTGGGAATAGGTATTCCTATTCCAATTCTAGATTGTTGGCACCTATCTGGTAGTTAAAGCCTTCTTGCCTTCAAGAAGGTGAGCCACTGTCAGCAATTAAAGGTAGTTAACAGTCCCCTGGGTAGTGTAAGAATCCAAGCCAATAATTATGACTCAGTAGAGGCAAGACATCTGAAAAGAATACAGATGAGTCCTAAAAAGAGTCATTCTTGCAAAAAAGGTAATCATTATTCTAGACACACACAAGTAATTATACGTATAAATAAAAAATGGTTTTGTAAAAGTACCTGTTAATTTACTAAACAGGAACTTTTGTCCCTCCTCTTAAACAAAAAAAAAGTAGGAAGGAAAATGCTGAAGTGTAATGGTACCTTGCTAAGTTGCAGCAATACTATCTTTCAACAAAAGTATTGACAGTTTGGATGTGCTGAGTTGAAAGAGCTTGGTATCATCTGTCTCATAAAAGAGCTGTCTGCTGTCTCTGTTAGCTTCTTGTATGTTACTAGAAGAGTGACAGAGAAAACCATCATGGGACTTTGCACAAGTCCTTGGGACAGGAAGGGACTGAGCTCCCCTGAGAATGCATTTGGACCTCTTCGAAGGTCCTCTTTTACAGCTCTTAAAGATGATGCTCAGTGCTTTGTATAGTGCTGTAATCAAATATATACCTGTACCCAGAAATCTCAATTCTCTGCACCCCCCTCTAAGCCCAGCAGCAGGTCAGCCATTGTTTTAGGAAGCTGAGTAGGGGGGAGGGAAGGATAAAATCAGGTGTGTGAGTACATCTCTAGAGTGGTGTTGCAGTGTGACACCATTTCCTGTTTCACCTATCCCAACCCCCCAGGTGTGCCAACCTCTCCTTTCCCCTCCCCCTTTGCCCTCCTGCTGAGAGCTGTCCATCAATCTTAACACTCCAGCAGGGTCGTGGTGTGGTTGGCAGAAGTTCAACAGATGCCCCTCAGGTCCGGGCTCATTGGCCTGTCCAAATGTCTGTACCCCTTGAGCCTTCCCCTCCTCCCACCTGGTTGGTGCCTCACCTGTCCCTTCCCCTCTCCCTGTCCCCGGGCTCAAAAGGAGACGGGACCCTGCGGTCTGGATTCTGTTGGGAGCTGTTACAAGATTCAGAGGTCTGTCATCCTGGAATAAAACTCTTGATTAAAACTCTACAGCAGAATCCTCTCCTTTTTCTCTTCACCATCGCCTGAACCTTTTCCACCAGAGGTAAACTGAGTTTCTACTTTGCCTGGATTTGTTCCAAGTGCCCAGCTGCAGCATCCAGCCGGCCAAAGGTATCTCTGAGGTGAAACACCACAGCTGCTGCCGTTGGTCCAGCAGCAAGGGTCAGAGGAGCCCAGGCATGTCCCACCCGGTAATATTTGGATTAATATTCCATAGAGTGGAAAGTTTAAGAAGGTATGGAGCTGATGCCCGCTGCCCATCTCTGCTTTTCTTCCTTCTCCTTTGTTTTCTTCTTATTTTGGCCTCTTGCCTCTGAACTACAATAGGTGAGAGATGGGAGATTTTGAATAGAGTTTCAGATGTTCTTTTAATATTAGGGGCCCATTTCTTACTGTGGAGAAGGGTTTACAAGTAGAAATGAATGTCATGTATCAAAGAAGGAAGAGACTCCTGCACTTAATTTTCTTTCTATTTCCTATATTTGTCTAGAGGATAAAAGTCTGTATCTCTCCTCCTTTGGTTCCCAAGCCCCTTTGCTCGGTTTATAAGAAATCTTTCCTATTCAGAACCCCAGTCTGAGGTCTTCAGAAGTTTCTTGAAGCTGTTGCCTTACTACAGCTCTAAATTCACAGCAATAGGAATCAAGGGAACTTACTACCAGATCAACAGCTTGCACAACTGCTGTGTCATATACAGACCATGTGTGTATACACAAAATATACTTCATATAATATAAATTTTTAGTAATTATACTCGTTCCAGTCATTATGGTTATCCCAGCTAATCAGTGCAAAGTTCAGAATACTTGATACGAGGAACATAAAATCCCAAACCTCCAAACGTTCCACAAATGCACGTACTGCAGAGCTGGTATTCTGGCTGCCTTCTTTCTCCTTCTCTGCCTTAGCTGAATACTGCTGTATGAAATACTATGTAATCATTGCAGCTGTGTCTCTGTTTATTAGAAAAGATAGTGTCTTCTGATCATTTGTCATTATACTTTATAGTACAGATGAATTAGATGGGTTTATTCCTGCTAATGAATTGCTGTTTCCGCACCATTTAATAGCTTAATCCCTCTTCTATAGTTACATATGCTTGGAGGGTTTTTTCCTTGCTTGTTTGTCTGTTTATTCTTTATGAAGCTAAATTCATGCTTACGTGGATGATGGTAATAGAATTTTACAAGCCTGTTAATTTTGCTTGTGGTTGTAAGTTTTGAAACAAAAGTACAAACAATTAACATGCAAGATGAGCAGAGCTGAGGTTTGCAAGTACAAGACCAGCAGAGTCATGGCTCACCCTCTCATGCAATACACATTTGCCCTGGCCAGTATATACTGTTTACAGATATTTAGGCCAGAAATACCTGTTCATGTCACCAAATAATGTTGGATGAATAGATTCTAAAATCTGGAAAACAAATCTAGTTGTGTGTATCCTTTTGCTGCTTCCCAGTAAAGGCTCAAGAACTTAATGAACTTTCCAAATGTCTACCTGACATTGGCCTGCTGTTCTAAACTTCTCCCTTTTTAATCAGATATTTCACATCTCCTTCTCTGCTTGCCCCAAGGCAGTTGCACTCACTGCCTCTTCTCACACCTGTTTCCTGGCTACTGCCTTCTTTTTCTTGCACCTGTTGCACTTCTAAAGCATAGTGAGCTTAAACAGCATTACACTGACATTAAAGGTCAGCAAAAATTTTGACTGGAACAAGTAAATGTGCATTGCGGTAGAAGGCCAAAGCAAATACATCTGAGTTGTCCCAGAGTGTCAATGGAATGAACACAGATCAAGGGCAGCATATTCCATGGGATTCCCATTCCTTTAGTGAATTCAAGAGAGATATACCTCAGCAGTTGGAAACCACTGACAAAGACACCAGTCTGAACCCTGACTGAATTCTTACCAACCCTCAGACTTGTGGTCAGCTGTGGTGCAGGACCCAAACACTTCCAATGAAAAACAGGCAATGTATGTCAGAGCAGTTGGTGAGTAGGTTTTCTGAACAGCAGTAGGTTGTGCTAAGAGCTAATAGACTTCTGGTAAGAGCAAGAAAGTTTAATTGGTTATATATGTCTACCACCAATGAATTTTCTTTTTCAGTGTTACGCCCTGTCCCCAGAATTACTCTTTTCAAATAGATTTCCTCAAGATGATTTCCCCTTTATAAAACATACTCTTGTGAATATTTGGTGGAATGGCCACTCAACATTTACAATATTTCTGAGCCAAGCATCTGTAATAAGATTCAGGCAATTTTTAGTCTCCTTTTAAAAATCAAACAAGATTCTAAAACAAACCAATAAGCACCTAGATTTTCTAAAAATAAAAAGACTATAAAAGTTAAGTCAAAATGTGTCTGTAATTACAGATTACTGCAGAGCACCAGCAGAAATTCAGTCCACTGCAGTGCATTTAGCTCATCTTTGCTTTTGGTTTGTAATCTGTCTTTATAACCTTTGCCCCTGTATTTTCTCAGATTTGGCTTCCTTGCCAGGTTTCTGAACTAGAACTTGATGAGAACGGCCACAGATACTGGAAACATGCTCTTGCTAACACAGCAAATGCAACCTTTTTCCTCTGTCAACAATTCTAAGATGGTGTGGCTGAATTTTTAGAAGATAAAATACAGCACCTTTAGCAATAGGGGGGAAACTGTAAAAAATTACAAAGCATGTGTCTCCTAATAATACATGGAAATGGAAAATTGGTTTTTAGCTTTATTCATGTATGATACAAAACATGCTCTGGGATCTTACCTCTGGGGGCAAATCTTATAGGTATTCCTGGGACTGGATACTGGAAAATACAGAAGCCAGGTGAGCCAAAATCTCCAAAGATCCTCCCTGCTCACCACAGAAATGTTGCCAGCGCTGCTGTTGGACAGCACACACAGCTGTGCTTGTAACAGACTTCCTTTTTGATCAAGGATGGAGGGGAAACATTGCTGTCTTACATACTCAGATAAAGGAACAGAACACACAGGAGTCACCCCTTTACCTTTGAGTTTCAGTTTTTAATTTAAAGGAAGCTTTAGCCTTGATGACTCTTAAGAAAAACATGAGAACATGAGCTGACAATATGAAATACATGTGTGTCCCCTTGAAACAACAGTTTACCTGAAGCTCAGGCAGACATGCTGCAGTGGGAGTGTGACTAAGAGCTGCACTGCTCTGCAGATCACATTTCCTCCTGGCTATTCAGCAAGTGCTGAAGTAACAGGAGTACAGCAGGCCCAGGCCTGGCACTGATCTTGTGTACCTTGGCTCCAACTGCTCGCAACCTCCAAAGGCATCTTCTACTCCAGGTGGAAGCAAAGGTCTCCTGATGGCATAAAGCCTTTTGCTGCTGTTCTGCCTTTCTGGTAGAGATGACTGTTGTGTCCTTACACATGTCCCAGAGCAGGAGTAAGGGTACAGGTACAGGTGGCATAAAGTGGAGGTATGCTTAGAGCCACAAACCAATTAATTCTGAGAATGCTGGTATTTTTAACATGAATAATTTATGGTTTTTATCCACCAGGATTAGTTTTGCTTTCATTTGAAATTAGGTTCTTTTTGTACTTTGGTGTTTGAAGAACACTTTCCACCATTCCACTGGATATATTCTTTTGCATTAAATCTCAAGCATAAATGATGTTAGCTGTTTATTTCAGGCATTTAATAACTGTGGCTTTTCCCACCATCAGAAAATAACATTTTACAGCAGGACATAGAGGTTTTGGGACTAAACACTAAAAGCCAGTCTGGCTAGCACAGACACTAAGCCTTCTGAAACCAATGGGAAAGAAAAGGCTCTTGCATTCTTCTGATCTGTTGGCAGTTTCATCCATGGTAGCTAAACCTGGAATTAAGCCTAAAAAACATCCATTGTTACTTAGTATTGATTTGAACTCTGACGAAGTGCTTAGAACCATACAGAACAAAGAAGACAACAGAGTTAATGACAAGTCTTAACTAGATGTGTGTTGAACAGCAAGACATCAAAACCAGCTCATTATGGAAGCTGAAATAATTGGCTTGTGAAGCTTCCTGAGAAACATACAAAGCAAACATTTACAAAGGTTATTGGATGGTATCCTGAATTTCATCCTAGGTAGTCTTAAATTAACAAGCCCATAAAATAGGTATCTTATTTGATCAAAATGTTAAGATTGTTAAATGACAAATTCTATGGAAAGTACCTATTAAAAGAAAAAGGAAACATTTGCCACTGGTAGGGCTTTATATCTGATATGCTCTAAAATTAGGTAAGGTGTAGACAGACATCAAGTATTATGTAAAAGCAATAATTTTAAATGATCTTATTACTTATGAGAAAAATCTATTAAAGTCATCCCTGGCAGATAGAAGAGGAAACAACACAAACACTTCTCTGAGGCAGCTCACCACAGGCAGACCTGCAGCATCCAGTCCAGAAAAACTGTGTGTGTTCAGTATTGCCTTCCTCCCAAAACCAGCAAGGTGCCTTAGCAGGTAACACAGTGGTCTGAGAGACCTGAAAAGGCTCTCCCTGAACAGCCTGTGTAGAAGGTTGTGTGGAAGACAGTCAGGAGCAGGACAGACAACACAATGGCCCTGGCAGTTCACTCACTCTCCTTGTACAAGAGCAAGGGTGGCCATAATTGGAGCTCACAGGTCTTCAGTTCAACACATGCCAAGAGGGTGCTTCCTAAAGAGGGCACTAGACCTGCAGTACTCCTTGGCAAAGCCTGGGATTGATGTGGGTTCACAGAGAATGGGGAAATTAATGGTACAGCAATCTGTGAGGATGGGTACAAAAACCTGGGGGGGTGAGGCAAAAAAAAAAAATCACAAGATATTCAGTTAAGGATTCCATCTGGTTGGGAGCTGGAAAAATATCTGGGAAAAAATTCACAGACTCGTAGAAAGGCTTAGGTTGGAAGAGACCTTAAAGATAATCCAGTTTCAACCCCTCTGAGCAGAGACACCTGTCACTTAGACCAGGTTGCTCAGAACCCCATCCAACCTGGCCTTGAACACTTCCAGGGATCAGGCATCCACAGCTTCTCTGAGCAAACTGTTCCAAAACCTCTCTACCCTATGAGTAAAGAATTTCTTCCTGACATCTATCTAAATCTCTCCTCTCTGAGTTCAGAACTGTTCCCCCCCTTGTCCTGTCACTATCTGTACAAGTAAAGAGTCGCTCTCCCCTTTTTTTTGTAAGTCCTCTTTAGGTACTGGAAGGTGCTGTAAGGTCTCCCTGGAGCCTTCTCCAGGCTGAACAACCCCAACTCTCTCAGTTTGTCTTCATAGGATACCTGTTCCATCCCTCTGATCATCTTTGTGGTTATAAGCTTGTGGAATTCTCACTTGTTTCCTTGGTATCTGTTCATAGTCACTTTTGGAAACAAGGTGCGTATTCAAAAATACTTTTGGTACCCTTATGTCTGTTCCATTACACTGTTACTCATTCTAGTTGAGTAGCTGTGGTTCAAGGTACTGCAGCCAGTTAAGCTCCATTTCCTCGATATGCTCTGAAAGAAAGAAAAAAAAAAAACCCAGTGAGAAAGCAGACCTTGACAGTCAGCCTTTAGGGTATCTCCCAAGTACTCGGCAGCACTTGCTGTCATTTTTGAAAACGTCTAGGTCAGGTAACACTTTATACAAGTACGTGGGAGTCAGGGGGGTGCTTTAAGTGTTTTCTAAGACTCTGATTTATTAAGTCCAGCTTGGGACTGTCACACCATGTTTTATTTTCAGGAGCTAACAGGCTGCCAGTCGTTCTCTGACCTGAAAGGCAATGCAAAAAGAGATTCATTCCCTAAAGTGACCGAATTGACTCGACAGAGTGGAGACCATTATGCTGAATTAGTCACACATTTCCTACGAACATCTCCCTCAAAAGCCTCGCTAGGCAGAAGCCGCGCGGGGGTTATACCAAAGCACAAGGCTGGGTACGCGCCGTGCCAGCGGGGCCCTGCCGGCCCAAGCCCCGCACCGCAGGCTCACCATGGCAGTGCTCCGCAGACCGCGCCGGGAGCGGCCCGAGCGGCCCGGGAACGGCGCTGCCCCCGCGGCCCGGCGGGAGGCGGTGGCGCCCGGCCCGGCCCCGCCCGCAGGCCCCGCCCCTTCCTGCGCCCCGGCGGCCCCGGCCCCGCTCTGCCGCGGGTCCCGCACGGGCGGCGCGGCTCTGGCGGCGGGTTGTGCCCGCTCCCCGCCCGCGGCCGGGCAACCTGCGGGCCATGCTGCGCGGGGCGGCGGCGGCGGCCGCCCGGCGGTGCGGGCTCGGCCCCGGTGCCGGTGCCGGCCGGGGGCAGGCGGGAGCGCGGCGGTGCTCGGGCGCTGCGCGGCGGCGGCAGTGGGCGCCTCCGGCGGGGTGCAACAGCGGGATCGTGGCTTACAACAGCCGGAGCCGGAGCAAGGAGCCGCTCGTGCTGGCCACGGAAGGAGTGGCGACCTGGTAGCGCCTTGCGGCGCGGCGGGCAGGCGGGCGGGGGTGACAGGAGCGGTTTGTGTCCGGAAACAGCTCCTGTGTCCCGTTCTGGGCTCCAGTACACGAAAGACGTGGAGCTACTGGATAAAGGCTTAGAGAAGGGTCACAAAAGTGATTAAAGGACCGAAGCGTCTCTCTTGCGAGGAGAGACTGCAGGAGCTGGGCCTGTTTAGTTTAGGGGAGTGAAGACTGAGAGGGGATCTCAGCAATACATATAAATATCTCAAAGATGGGTGTCAAGAGGATCGTACGAGGCTTCTTTTGGCATTGCCTAGTAGCAGGACGAGGAGTCGTGGCCATAAACTAAAACACAAGAAGTTTCACCTCAACATGGGAAAGAACTTCTTTATGTTGAGGGTGGGAGAGCACTCAGGCTGTCCAGGTGGCTCATGGAGACTCCCTCTGTGGAGACATTCAAAACGTACCTGGACACATTCCTGTGTCACCTGCTGTAGGTGACCCTGCCTTGACAGGGGTTTGGACTGGGTGATCTTCCAACCCTAACAATTCTGTGATTCTGTTTGCCTCCCCTCTCTGCAGGTACAGCTGTGGGCCAACGGTGTATGACCATGCACACCTCGGGCACGCCTGGTGAGTCGTGGATGGCTCCGTGGGGGCATCCAGGCACATACACAGCACTGGACATCCCATGCCAGGGGTGCCAGGGATACAGTGCCGGGCATCCCCAGGCTGCAGTGTGTGTCCTGGTGACAGAGCTGTGACCGGTGACACGAGGCCCAGCCCTTCGCCTCCTGTGCTGTGCAAAGGGCAAAAGTCTGTTTGTTATGTATTTTTCCTCTTGTGCTGGGGTAGTCCATAAAGGGGCTGTTGGTTCTGCTGCCTGGCTAAGGCAGAGACAATGTGTGTCTGTGTCTTGGGAAGAAGCATTAGGAATGTGTGCGGTTTGTTTGGGTAGGGTGAGTTGTTACAAATCGTATCAGCATAGTGTGACCTCTCATGTGGAGGAGTTGTGATCCTGGAGCCTCTCAGCTGTGTGAAAAGATAGTTTCACCTCAGGTTAGGTCAGGCATTGTGTTTGCACCAAGGAAAAGCCATGCAGGGCTGGCTAATAGAAAAGTGCTTTCAAGGTTCATAGATGAACACATCGCATCTTAAATCTCAGAAAGTCCAGGTAGCTTAAAGGCCTTTTTGCAGAGTAACACTGTAGTGGCTTACTGTGTTTAAAAATAAAAAAACAATCCAGAGCAGCACAGGTTTTTCTCTGTAGTTCATTAGGATTGTTAGAACAATAACCTAGCTTCATTATAAGTTACTTTGAAAAAGTATTTTAAATACACCAGAAGAGGTTGCTGGTACTTGTTTCAAAACAACATGCCTGATGAGTAGATATGCAGGGTGTCTGCTGTTCCTGTGAAACTGAGGAGAGTTGCAGCAGTAGGTCAAGCTGCTCTTAAGGTTCTTAAAGAGCAGGTTGTGTTGTGCTCTTTGAAAGAGCAGGGGTTTATCAGATAATTGCCATCTGTATGAAGATCAGATATTATGCATTTCAGTAACTGAATAATTCCCATTCAATGTAAGGGATTTCACAGCTTCTCATCCTGTCTCAACTTCATTCAGAAACTTGTGTTGAATCTTGCTCATGTTGAACTGAGCCATTGCAGTAACTGCACAACTGCTGCTTTGTTCTGTGAAAAGGAAGACTTAAAATACCAGTTATATGAAAGTACTGTTGTCAGTGCTAATGTTAATGCTGCTGTACTGTTGTGTATATGTTGTGGTGTCTTTTTCCTCCTTGCTTTTGTCAAGTCTCAGCAGAAAACTGACCTAGCTTTTTATTTGTGACCTAAAAATCAAGAACATGATATCTTGGACTTGTTGTTTGTACTTAGTATTTTCAGGAAAGTCATAGTAATTGGTGTATTTAAATCTACAGCTCTTTGTGATACGGGCTACGTTACAGTTTACCTTGAAATAATCACAATTTAAAATCATCACTTGAAAGTAACTGTGTAAAAAAGATGGTTATAAGTTTCTTGTCTTTATCCCTCAGGTGAGGTTCTCTAGTGTGGTAGGGCCTGTCTTCCCTGACATGGTGTAATAGGGAAGGGAATTGCAGAGATGCTTCTGTCCTAAGGGGTATAGTTGATCTAGACCACAATGTTTTATAGAGGTGGAGAATTTAACCCATTGGTCTTGCAGCTCTCTGTGGCTTTTAAATGTCTGTTTTTTTCAGTGGTCTCTTGCCCTCAACTTCCTTGATTAAAAGAGGGAGTAGAAAGGCCTTGCTTACACTTGCTGGTTTTTTACCCATCTTTTATTACCCATGTCTAAACTAGCAATTTCAGGCTTTCCCACTGTGGAGGTTTGCCATACATCTTCCTCACCCGGGTCTGACCTCTTCACGTGCTAATTTAAGAGAGGATGGTTAGTGCTGAATATTGCCTTTGGTGTATCATGCAGATACACCAGGTATAATTCTCTGTTTTAGCACCTCTTTAACCACCTTCACTTGTTGTTCCTGTTGCCTGACAAGGTGTCTGCACTGAAGACCTTTTGCTCTCTTTTCTCATCAGTTAAACCCTCCAGCGTGGGAGGACTTGGCTGTTCCTTTCCAGTATCTCTGGTCTTACACATGTCAGTATTGACATTCTGTTGCTCAGCTGATTTGTTCAGGATGGTGGAGCACTCTTGGTTCTATTTGTTTATTTATTTTTAAAAATGGTATCTTTTTTTCCCCAGTAGCCAGGTCCAACCAGAGAACAGCTGAAATGTGTTCTGCTGTTGGGGGCCAGGAGAGGCCCTGGGCAATAGCAAAAAGTCAGATGGAGTGGTGGCTGTTGCTGCTCTGCTGCTCTTGTTAAATACCCTCATTTTGATGTACTCCTGCCACATGTTCTTTTCTTACTAGAATTCCCTTTTTTCCCCTCTGTCTTACATGTGTCAAACACAACAAATGGAGCAGGTAATAAAGCAGAAACGGATCATGGAAATGAGTTTGAGATCCTTGAAGAGAATTTGGAAATAATGGCATTATTTTTCTTCTGTCCTGTTTCCATTCCACAAGGAGTTCTTTTTCTCTAAATAATTTAACATTCTCTAGTATGTTGTGTATCCAGTCCTAAAAACAGATGCTCTGCCTCCATATGACATCCAACACCCATTCTATATAGAGAAAAAAGTAAGACAGGCAAATAATAATATTTTTTTCCCCCCAGTTCTGGGTCTGACCTTGATTGTACTGGTTTGACCTGCAGCCTGGTTGGCATCCAGGTTCCTGGCTGAATGCTTTGAAGTAAGAGTAAAACCAGCCATGAGAGATTTCTCTTGCACGTGCTCTACCACCCCCTGATCTTGACTGTCTGTTTTGGCTGGGCTTTTTTATCAGTGCTGAAGTGGTAAAGACCCTGTGGTATCAGGAATTCTGCTCTTGTTCTTGCAGAGTTTCTTCCATTAATTCAGTTGGAAGATGAGAGGACAGGGAACAGTGTGAAATTTGTGCCTGCTCTGGGAACAGTGACTGCAGGGCTGTTAAATCTAATATCAAGCTTTTGATGCTGGCGTTGTTCCTCTGAACAGGATCCAAAGGCCAATTTAATATTCTTATGGAATCGTGTCACCACATTAGATCAGCCTTACTCCCAGTGAGCTGCTATTCATTAAAAACTATCTCCCTGGCAGCAAGGCTTTCAAAAAGTCTTTTTTTCAGCATGGGCATGGCACAAACAACAACTAAAAGTATTTTTCTTCATTGAGATATTCTGCATCCATAAATCAGTACCTTAGTGCTACCTGGCACCTGCAGGGAAGGGTGCAAATCCATTTCTGGAGTTGCTTACACTTCTTTGTTCTGACAGCCATGGGAGTTGCAGTTTGTGTGATGCTGTGAATGAAATGGGAACCTGTAGGTCTGTGAACCTCCTTGCTGGCTTTGGAGAAAACAGCCCAGAAAGACTGAGGATTCTCATCATCTTGCAGGGCAGACACAGAGATTTTAGTCACCTTCTACTATCCCACCTGGTAATTTAGTTTAAATCAGTCAAAGTGTGTTTTGAGAATTACAAATGGAGAGTCTGTGAGCAGAAGGAGCTGCAGCAGCCCTCTACAGCTTGTATATCCATCAATCTATCAGCATTAAATACTCTGCTTTGTGGTAAAAGCCCTGAATAATTTTCAGAATAACTTTTATTCTCAAGTGTAAATAAAACAGAATAAGCTATAGAGCATCTACTCTTTGCTATCAGAAAAGATCTATGGTGGTGTATGAATGAAATACTTTACTGGTGGATGGTATCTGTTGTTACTCAACCCTAAGAAAAGTTAATTTGAATCCTGCTTTATTTCTCCCTGTTCTTTTGCTGCATGACTTTTGAAAACCTGTTAGGATATACTAAGCCTAAGGGATGTATTTCAGGAACATCTGATCTCTGTGTCTCATTTTGTCCTGTTGGCTTTGAAAGAGTCTCCCAGCTCCTGTAGCTTGTGATACCCTTTGAATAAAGAGATGCAACAAAAGAAAACACTCAGAAAATCTGATGTAATGTGTCACTAATGCCAGAAGAGGGTAGGCCAGTTCAAGAGAAATTTGCTTGACTTTTGTGCAGGTAGCAACTGGTTTTGGAAAAACACCTTATGTACTGGAGATCTTTTCATTGCAAGTGTTGGGATTAATTAGATTGTCCCTGTGGCTGTTGGTTATTTTTGTTTTAGTTTATTCTTACTACTGCATGTTCAAAAGCTCGTGTTTCTTTCTCTTCCAGCTCCTATGTTAGGTTTGATATAATTCGAAGGATAATGACAAGGTTTTTTGGAATTGAAGTTATCATGGTGATGGGGATCACAGACATAGATGACAAGATAATAAAAAGAGCCAATGAGGTAGGTGTGTGCTGCAGTCTTTGACTAACCTTTTGGTATTTTCTAAGCTGCTTATATAGGAAAATTAACCTGGGTTTGGGGTTCTTTAGTTATGTTTGTTTTAATTAGTAGGTAATTCATGTTGATATTTCTGGTCCCCTAGTGTGGCTGTGATGGGTCTGGGAGTGAGGAGGGCTGAGTGTCGAGGGCTGTGGGGGTAAATGGGTACAGAGCTGTGTGATGGGGAGAGGCAGAGAGGAAGCTGCCTTACAGCACCCACAGCTGGGATTTTCCTGCCCTCTCCCCCTGCCTGAGAGGCTGTAAGGGAACAAAAGCCCTGTGTGAATCCTCAGCACAGTGAAATTATCCCACAGCTTAGCAGCCAGAAGGGCTCTGGGTCAGTTCTGGAGAAGTGGTGTGTGCTGTGATCATGCAAGGCAGCACTGTACGTACAGCCCTGCCACGTGGGCAGAGGGCAGCTCCTGGAAGGTGCCGAGCACCATCTAGCTGCAATGTCAGCACCTTGGAAAGCTTCACCAGGCCTGGCTGAATTTGTCACCCACAGGAAAGTTAATATTGTGTGTGCAGGTAAGTCTTGATAAGACTGGGGCTGTAAGTGGTTCTTGGCAGAATTTTTAATATGACCTTTTTTACCAGATTAGCTTGGTCAGTGATTATTTAAATAACTTTATTTTTTAATGGTTTTAAAAACACTTTTTGAATCCTGAAGCACTGAGTGTATTCTGTGTTTTTATTCTGCATTTTGAGTCCTTTTGTTTAATTTGATTTTAGAATCTGTAACTCATGTCTTTGGGATCATAAGTGAATGTGTGGGATTGAATTGCAGTTGCAAGCTTTAAGATAGTTTCTTGGAGCCAGAGAATTTGACAGCTGTTCCTTTTACTTATCTTTAAGTAAACAGTTACTTTCTCAGTTAAATATAGGCCCCTGCATTCAAATGAATACTAGCAGAAATATGTCTGTTCCCTTAGTCCATTTACTTGCAGTTTTCTAAGGCAGTAAAGAATTCTAAACAAAGAACCCCCCTTCAAAATTCAGGCGTATTAAATCCATGTTTGCATTTTAAATTTTTTCCTTATTGTCAGAACATCTTAGAGATTTTGTGTTTGAGGAGGGGGAAATAACATGTTCTTGAAAGATGTGTTGCTTTATTACATTCTTTGGTTCTATGAAGTCATCTTTTCTTGGCTTTTTTTTTTGTGACCTTTTGAAGTGTTTGCTCAACCATTTTTTTTGGATGGCCAGGGTCTCTACCTCAGTACCCTGCTTTTGTTGTTGGAACCTGAAGCATTACAGTGGTAAATCAACATGTCTGAGCTTGTTCATCATCCCCTGGTGGGGTTCATCTTGGGGAAACCTCAGAGTTGGGTACTAGTTCATGATGAACGTGCTGTATGCCATCAGTGGCCCTTTGAGAGAGGGATGAGTCTCTTTGTGTGTTGAACATGGGAGGAAATTCACCATCTCCTTTCTGGAGGCACCTTTGTTTCTTTCTTGATCAAAGCAGCAGCTAAGCTGTCTAGAGAGGTGAATCCAGTCACTGGTCTGTAGGCAGAAGCTTGTCTTTGTATTTTGGTGCTGAGCATTGTCCTCATTTCATTGCTGCATGAACATTGTCTTCACCAGAACCTGCTTTGTCCAGGAGTTTGTACAAACAGTGGTACCCACCTGCTCTCTCAAAATCAGAGCCCATAGAGATGCTCTAGTAGTGAATTGGAAGTGATGAAATGAGATTGATACTGTTAATGATTCAGTTACCTGCAAGATGGAGACTGACAGTATGTTGTCTTCTCCCCAGTAGTTTGTTCTCAGAGAAGATGTAAAAGCATGCATTTGAAACACTTTGATACCATGCTGTTGCTTGCTAGGGCAGGTTTTGCTGTCATGCATCTTTCAATCCCTGGTCTCTTCTGAGTGTTTGAGAACAAGTACCTTACCAGGTGCAAGTTCCTTTCCTTTTGGGTTGCATTTTCTCATCCCCTCTGCAAGAGGAACCTGTTCATGTCCCATGAATGAGAAATGTAGAGAAGGTGCTTGAGAAATGCTGGACTTGGCGAAGCGTGGAACTGGCTTTCAGTATTAAGATCTATGAGTACCCATGATCTGCTGAAATAGCTTATTTTTCTTAATCACTGAAAATGAATATCTTGTCTCATCCTGCAAGTTTCTGATCTGTCTTTCTGACACATAGGTGGTATTGGTGTTTCCTGTCAGTAAGTTGAATGGTTTTTATGTCCTGTGTATGGTAGTATATTTTGTCACTGGAAATGAAAGACCCTCTCAAGAGAAAAATAATAAGAGAGGGAAGGAGTTTATTATTTTAGTCTTTGGTTGCTTTCTCTTAAAAGAGATATATTAATATTTTGCAAATTAAGAAGCATAAATGAAATACTACTTCTAAGTTATTTATAATTTATATCTCCTCTCTGTCAATGTTAGATTAATAAGCCTTTCTGACTCTACCTTGGGGGCTCTCTAAGTCTTCCAATTAGCTATTAGCTGTCTGAGAAAAGATTGCCATATTTTATATCATTACACTGACTTATGATTTGCCAATCTGCTTCTCTATTTTTCAGATGAATATATCACCAGTAGCTCTTGCTCGTATTTATGAAGAAGACTTTAAACAAGATATGGCTGCCTTAAAGGTACAAACACTCAAGATTCTAAATTTAAGAGTATTTTCTAAGAAATTATTTTGGTAAAGAATCTGGTTGTGAGAGTTTGATCTGAAAAAATAAATTTGTTGCTTGGAAACTGAGTGCTGATTTACTTTTCATTCTTCTGGAATGATTTTGCACACCTTTTGAGTAGGGAGATGTGGGGAGAAGCAATCCTGAGCTTTGGAATGAACAAATGAAACTTTGTAACAGTTTTTTTCCATATTCAGTAGATCCTTGATTCACAGATACTACTATAATGCAGAAACAGCCTGATTGAAAGCACAGGAAACACGAAATCTTCTTTCATTGATTTCAAGTGACTTTGCTTCTTGTCTCCCTGTCAGAGGCAGAGAATGAGCCACTGGGAAAATCAGGGTTTATCTTTGCCACCCCTCTGTGTGTATTATCTTAAATACTACTTATGAATTTTTTATGATACTTGCAACTTTTTTTAAAGATACAATTGAGAAGAATGTTCTTTTATTTTGTTTCCTAGAATGAAGGAACTCATTGGCAGTGTGTTAATGCAATGTTACTCTTTCTTTAAGGTCCTTCCTCCTACAGTATATATGAGGGTGACTGACAATATTCCTCAAATAATTTCCTTTATAAAAACAATAATTTCCAGTGGACAAGCTTATGCAACCTCGCAAGGTAAGACTTTGAGCAAGGTAACTCCTTGTTCAGCACATGTATAGGAAGTCACTGCTCTTAGTAATCCTGTTTTGGAATCAGGTGAGATACCTTGTTCCAGGCTTTCCTTCTGTTGCTTAACAGGGTGTGAGTGAATTGTTTGTGATGACATGAGTGGGCAGAACAACTATTACTCAATTTCTAAGCTAAATGTAGCTCATTATTTATTATAATTGTTTACTGTAATAAACTGCTGTCTAAACTCCTTGGGGAAGGCCTGGCCTGGTTTCTATAAGAAAGCTGGGGGAACCTCTGAAGAGGAGCTGTGTATCTCCTATGTGCTGTAAAAGATGTGTCTGCAAAGCAAAATGTGTGGGTTTCTTTTTTTAGCAGAGGTGGTGGTTGTAGAAGAATTCAAGTGCATTGTAACTGGACTAGGTGTAGCTTGAGCTGCAGTAGGGGAGGGGATTGCTGGTTGTGCATGGGCAAGGAAGAGACTGGGAGATCCCCAGAATTCAAACTTATGCTTTGGGCAGAATGAGTATGTGCACAGAAGCTACTGAAAAACTGGATAACATGGGAACATCTGCTACTACTTTTGCCATATTTCTAAATTTCTAAATCAGAATTTCAAATGGGAGTGGAAGAGCGCTTTGTTTTGCTTTCAGTGAAATGTTATCAAGTTCTCATCAATGTGCTCCATCTTTGCTATTCAACTAAACATTTCTTTTGTATTAGGCAATGTTTATTTTGATGTTAATTCCTGGGGAAAAAGATACGGAGTGTTAACTGCTATTAACCCTGATACCCAAGATGAAGCAGGTAAGTTCGTGGCATGAGCTTGTTTGTGTTAATGCATTGTTTGAATGCATTTTGCATCTATGTGCAAACTTTCATTCAACAGTCTGAAACAGTTTTCTAACCCATTGTGTATAGCTAAGTTTCTGGTTAATTAGGATCACAGTGCTTTCACAGTTATTTTTTGAGGCACTCACTGTTGCCAGTGCAGGAGGAAAGTTGGGTTTTCTTCTTCCTTTTGTCCTTCCCTCTGTACCTTTGTTCTGGTACCTTAGAACAATTAGGATTCTTAAGCAATTTTAATTAAATACTTGGCAGTGGTACATAGAAACTTCACACTGAGGTGGTGCTCTTGCTGTTGCAGTAACCAGCAGTGAGGTACTCAAGGGAAAACACTGGGAAACCTCACCTACCATGTTCTTGTTGGGGCAGTTGCACTACTCTGAAGTTAACTAGATTAATTGCTTCCTTCATTACTTGTCACTGGGCTAAGCATCCTCTGTGTGAGGGCGAGCAATCTCTTCATAGGCTGTGCTAGAGCAGGCCTGTACCCTGGGCTGTGGAGATTTTGCTCCAGTTCCTGCTTTGCAAGATTGCTGAACCTCTGTTTAGCAGGGTAGTAAGGTCTGATCAGGTTTCTGCATCAGAGAATTTGATTCAGGTCTTCTACATCCTTTTGCAAACTAAAGTTCAGTATTTCATCATTAAAAAAAAATCTGTTTGTAATTACTGAAAATGCCTTGGGGGCTGATGCTCAGGTGCAGCCAGAACTTCTCACAGCTCTGCTCTGGAGTTGTTTCAGCGCACAGAGGGAATGCATCTTGTCAACAGTTATTTAGAGGTAATTACTGAGTGCAGAGAGCCAGCTCCTCCTGGGCTGCAGCTCAGTGGAGGTGGTCCTTCTCTGCTCAGCACTGGTGAGACTGCCTGGAGTGCAGGGCTGGTGCTGGGCTCCCCAGAACAGCAGTGGAGAAAGCCAGCAAAGGGTCACAATAATGATGGAGGAGCATCTTTCATCTCCAAATACTGGAGCATCTTTCATGTGAGGAAAAGCAGACAGAGCTGGACCACTGAGCCTGGAGAAGAGAAGGCTCAGGGGAATCCTACCCATGTGTACTCATACTGATGGAGTAGAGCAGATGGAGCCAGGCTTTTCTCTGTGGTGCTTGGTGATGGGACAAGAGGCACTGATCACAACTTGAAACATGGGAAACTTTATTTAAAGCCAAGAAAAATCCCTTTTACCCTGAGGATGGTTAACACAGACCATGTTGCTCAGAGAGGCTGTGGAGTCTCCATCCTCAGTCAGAGCCTAAGTGGACACCATCCTGGGCAGCCTGCTGCAGCTGCTCCTGCTCTGAGCAGGGGGTTGGATTAGGCTGTCCCCACATGTGCCTTCCAGCCTCAGCTGTGACTGATTATGTATTTTACCCTCCTTCCCCTCTAGTCACAGCTGAGTGCATTCTTATTTCTAAAGATTTTGACACTTGTTTTGCTTAAAACTGAGATGTTGAAGTGTGCTCTTTTATAGCAGTATACTTAAAAAAGGGCTGAAGAGGGTTGGAGTCAGCAGATCCTGGTCAATCAGAACTTGGGGATCTAGTGAAAGAGCCCAGGTGAAGATTCAGTGGACAAAACTAGGGTTATATTTCTGTTTCTGTAGTTCTTAGGAATTTTGAGTTGTATGATTCTAAAAGTGAAGCCATGTATTTGTCAGAAATAAAGTCCAGAGTCCAGAGCCCTGTTCTGTGGCTCCTGACAGGGGTTGCTGTGTGTTTGACTGGAGGTTAGGAGTCAGCAGATATGAACAGTCCTGCAGTATTGTAGCAAAAAGGACTGCATCTTTGGCAATGTAGTGAAGGAAGGAACAAATATAGCTGTGAGGAAACCTTTGTAGAAAACCCATTGGTGAAAACAGTAGTGATAAGTTGCTACTGTCCAAGAATAGTTTTGATTCTTACCTCTGTGCACTTCTTTGTTTTATAAAATCTAAAACACAAAGTAATTGTGTCCCAGAGAAAAAATTGTGGGGGTTTATGTTTGTTTGTTTGTGTGGTTTGGTTTGGTTTGGTTTTATTACCTTCTCTGCTATAGTGCAGTCAGTTTGTCCTGGGGAAACTGGCTGATATGTAACTAAATGAATGAAAAATAAGGCAACCAGGGAAGGATAAAAGGACTGATAGGGTAGGATATATTAAGGAATCTTGAATCCATCTTTGTAGCTTGTCAAAATCTATTTCAATATTCCAATATTTCAATATTTCAATTTTCCCCTGTGTGAGGGGGAAGAGAGGGAAGTTGTAGTGAAAAGAAGTTGATTGAAGGGGATTAAAATCAGAGTAGTTCACTAAATACACATTTCCTCTTGCTTTCATTGGTCATTTTTTTTCTTTGAGACATATCCCATTAACAAATCACTTATTCTTGCCAGCTGATTCTGACAAACGACATGGTAAAGATTTTGCCCTGTGGAAGGCTGCCAAGCCTCAAGAGCTATCTTGGAATTCTCCCTGGGGAAAAGGACGACCTGGATGGCACATCGAATGTTCCACAATATCAAGGTCAGATTTCTTGGATTTTGATAAATCTAATGCTATTTTTCATTTTCAATCACAGTACAATGGTAGCAGCATACTGAAATTGTTTTCTGACAGTAGGTAGCACTGGTTTTAATGTGACCATTTTATAGAACTTGGGATGTCACATGTGGCCCAGATAAACTCTGCTTCACCTTACTGTCACACCTTACTGTCTCTATGTTTTGGCACCTTCTCTAGAGTCAGACTTGGTGCTTAAAATATGGCACACGGGATCACACAGTCCATTAGCAGTCTATGGACTTGAGCTGAGTAACCAAAGGTGTGGTGAAAGTTATGGTACCTCTTCCATTCACTTCCCTTCCACTTCTAGCAGTCTCCATCAGTCCTAGTTCAGGATGTAGGTGTCAGGAGGACAGGGTGTGGGATTACAGCTTGATCTATGAGATCTTGCTGGCCTTATCTTAACAGCAGCTGTGGATGTTCATGCTCGTAATCGAAGTGTTATTCAGCATTCTTGCTGAGTAGCGTTTTGCTTGCACTTGGTTTGATGTAATTTGCTCTTAATTTAAAGTTTCATTTTCACCACAGGAGAAAAAGGTCTTCTCTCCTGGAAGATTGATAGTGTACTTAGTTTTGCATTAGTCTCTGATCTTTTTTTGGAAGCTAATAAGAAATAGTTTAGATCTGACCTTGTTCAGCTTAAGTTTTCAGCTAAAGCTGAAAGAAGATGGAACCAGCTGCCTTAGGTTTCTCTTTCATATGCTTTTCTGGTGCACCTGGGATTGTTAGTCTTTTCCACCTGCTTGTGAAAAGTGTTTATAAGGGTGATTTTCTGTCTGTAAATAGTTTCAGCATAGTGAGGCAGCTCTTAAAGCAATCAAAGTGCACAAAATCATGCTGTGTTTGATGTAGAACCTCTGACAGAAGTGCACAGATAAGAAATGCCAGTTACAACATGGCTTGTCTGCTAATGCAGTGCTGTTTATAGTCTGCATTTCTTTCTCTAAAAATGTATTTTACTGAGGCTGGATGAGGCTCTTGCCATATAAATAAAAGACCCACGGAGAGCATGATTGTAGTAATCTTGGACTGTGAAAAATGGAGAGCTTACTTTGGTAAGTGACCTAAAGCAATTTGTTGTCCCAGTCAGCTGCTGAAGGCCCATTTTTAAGTAATACTTAGTTGTCTGTTTTGCCAAGTGTCTCAAAGCACTTTAACTATGTTAGGTGAATTAATTTTGATAAGTCTGTGAATGAGGAGTCTCTGGTCTCTAGAGCAGCCCTGCAGGAGGGAATCCCCTGCTTTGATCCCCTCAGGTCTGTCATTCTCTTCTCATTTTCCCTTGTGGTGAGGTGGGTGGCTCCTCCTGTCCCTGTGCATTTGGCAGATCCATCTGTCACCTCTCTCCAGCTCTTAATGGTTTTGCTGGAGGAAACAGGAATTGCTCCTCTGTACAAGGTGGCACGAGGGGAGGTGAGGGTCAGTCCTGGGAAGATTTGTGCTTTAGCTGGTTTTGAAGCAGGCAGGAGCAGAGAAGGATGAACTTGGGAAATGGTGACAGCTGCTCTTTCTTCCTTCTCTCTTCTCCTCCTTGTCTTTTCCTCCTGTGCCCCAACAGCTTCTGCAAAGCCATCATGTGGCACAGTGTTAGCAGCGTGTTTTGTCTCAAAAAAGGACCAAAGTATTAATGTTTAGTCAGCTACCAGGATCACCTTGTTAAGGTGACATATGGGAGGCCTGTGTGTTTGTCTGTGGGCCTTGCACCTTTCCTGCTTGAGCACTCCTGGTTTCTGAGCAGTTAAGGTTGACTCACATCCCTGTGAGGCTGTAAGTGTAAACTTTGTTTAACAGGCAAAATAAAGTTGCTAACCTGCCCAGCTTGACCTGACTGCACACACTATTGTTTGAATTCTTACAGGAAAGGTACAAGATAAGGAAGAGTAATACCAAATTTATAGATGTAAGTTGTTAGGTTTGCACATAAAGGCACCTGTCTGATAATGAAACTGTAGCAGAACAAGGAAAGGAGACATCCTGCTTGCTGTCCTTTAAGGAATTGCTTCTAGTAAGGAGAAGTAATTGTGAACAGATATGGGTCCTGTCTGTACAAGTTCTGCTGCAGTTTTGGTACCCAAGGTATGTGTAAAATCTTGTTTTAAAACTGCAGTTACTAAGTTATACACTTAAATATATGTTGTTTCATCTTATTTTTATTTGTATTTCTTTTTACAAAAAGCTTTTGTGGTGTTCTGCTTACTGATCAGGAAAATATTGTTACAGTGCAGTGTTTGGAAAGCAGCTGGACATCCATACTGGGGGAATAGATCTTGCATTTCCTCATCATGAAAATGAAATTGCACAGTGTGAGGTGTATCATCAGTGTGAGCAGTGGGGGAATTACTTTCTGCATTCTGGTAAGTAAAATATTGATCACTTGAGAGGCCTGTGCAAATACAATAGTTTGGGATTTTTAAGTTTGGCATTTCATGCTGTGAGAACACGTTACACTGCCTGGCATTGTGAAGAACTGCTCCTTGCTCCCTCTGCATAAAGGAGCTTCATTCAGTGAAGTTTGTGCTGTACAGTGCTTTGAACTACGTCACTGATGGCTCCAGTGCTGTTCCCATTGATGGAAGCCTTGGCATTTGTTCTTCCTGTTGCTGTCGTGGTGGTTCTGGATGGACAGCTGAAGGCAACAGAAAGTCAGATTCAAGTCTGCAGCCTTTCTTTTGCTGATTAGTATTTTGGGCAGGATGTCTCTATGAACTCTTGAAGCTGGTTCTGTGAATAGAAGAGCGGCAGAGTTAAGCCTGTGGTGCACTCTGGGAATTACATGAGCTTTCATTTTTATATATTTGTACTGTATGGGATGAATATTGAATTCTAGTTTCAGTTCCCAGTGCAGAGCCTGTTGTAAATCAGTAGCAATTGTCCAGAGGCTGGTGCATCCTCCAGGGTGTGCTTTGTTCCCAAGGTGCTGTGGAATCCACTGCATTTCCACTGAGATGCACTGGTTACTGCCAAGGGGAGCCTTCTGTTGACAAACCAGTGAATCTGACTTTTCAAACTTGGAACTGAATCTGTAGGGGAAATATTTTTTGATACCAGCTAAATAAAGAAGAGTCAATTAAAAAAAAAAATAAGGAGAACTTAATTCCAAGGGCAATTTTTACAGTGAAGTTCTCTAGGAGCTGACAGATTACATTCATTAAGTCAGAAAGAGTTGCTGGAGGATCATGGTGTGAATTATTTAGGGCAAATGAATCAGCTTCAGAAACAATTTATTCTGCTAACAGACTTCAGAATTTTAGCAGCTCAGAATTGGAGGAGCAGTCCCCATTAGAGGAAGAAAATCCCTGCACTGGGGATAAATCTCATAAGGACTTTATTTTTAGACTACTTGTACTCTGGGAAGAGCGCCAAACCAAAGTTATGAAAATCCTTGTATTTTGTGTTCTTGAATGAAATCATTCTAAGTACTGAAACTCTTGGAAGAGGAATATTAATTCAAATTCAGATGTTACTGGTACATTTTTCGGAAAACACAGTCCAACTATTTTAAACTTGTTTGCCTGAAGTTAATTAAGTCAGTATTTAGGCACCTTTGCAAAAGAGAGAAAGTAATCTTAGCCAGACTCTTCCCCTTCTCCCAGGAGAATTTTGGCTGTGGGTTTTACTTGAGTCCCAAGAGCTGCAGGTGTCCAGTTGTGTCTGACAGCCTGAATATGCTTATTGAGTGTCCCAGGTTTAATGATGCACTGGTGAAAGTGGCCTCACCTGCTGGCAGACAGGACAGTGAAAGCAAGGTTTTTTGTCATGGGTAGCTGCTCTAGCTGGTTCTGCATCCATGGATTTTTTGATTCATTCCTACTCTCCATAGAGTATGTTGTACAAAATGAAATTTTGAGTAGGTCAGGATAGGACTTCACATGGTGAGTTCCTGTTGCTTTGAATCATTATCAGAAATAGCTGAGGAGTGAAACAATGAGCTTTTCAGGTCCAGTTATCAGGCCTGAGCTTGTTGTTTTCATATCCAGATGAGTGTAATGGGGATTTTATCTACTTGTGGAAGCAAGAGGGTTTTAGGCAAGGCTGCAAAGCAGCTCTGTGTAGCAAGTAGCACAAAATGCAGACAGCTGCATGGGTTGCTGAGCAAGAAATGCCACTTCTGTCACCACTCATAAAAGCAGGAGCATGATCATATGTTGTCCTTGCACTCTGAGGCACTGGTAGCCCTGGGCTGCCAAATGTGAAAGAATGCAGTACTGGTAGGGTATTACAGAGCAAGAGAAACTTATGCTTAAAAATCTGCCTCAAAGTATGAATAAGTGCTAGATGCTGCAGGTCACAGAAGTGCCTAAAATCTCATGTTAGTTGTGGGTGGTTGGTAACTTACAGAATTACTCTTTCATTAGAAGAAGTCTCTTAAGGCTTTTAATAACATTTCTGAAATTATGCTGAGTAGTTTTTCAGTGGCAGCATGTTTGCCATCTCTCTGGTGCTGTGAATAATTGGTGTTTTCCATCAGTGATGCTGCCATGGCTCACATGGATGAGACCTCTAAGCAGGCAGCCTCAGGCTATACTTCTCCTGTCTTTCTTCGACAGAGCTTTCAGTCCTAAAGCCAAGCTCTACATACTCTTTTAAATGCAGTGTTACTACCTTTTTCCTGTGCTTCAGCCCTGCAAAGCAGTGATCTGTGTGACTCTTCAATGTTCTAGCAGTGCTCAGAGGTCACACTTCAAAACAAACTAATTCAAATTAGATATTGTAGCTGCATCACTCCCTCACCCTGCTTTTTCTCAGTCTCACAAGTCTGGAGAAGTTGAGAATCTGTAGAAAATTCATTTTGCATTTAAGATATTTTGAACCAGTGCTTTAAAACTTTGGGGTAAAAAAATAATGTTAACAGCCATCAGCAAGTAATAAGTACAGAAGATGAACTTTTAAGGATTTTTTAATGCTAGATCACTGGAAAATATTTCTTAAAATACTTCTGAAAAATCAAGAGTAACAGATAAAGTACTTGTGAAGCCTGAAACTATTTCCTTGCTTTTTTTTATCAGTTTATTGTCAGTTCTGAGCAGGGGGACTCGTGGTGGGTGGTTGTTTTTTTTTTTAATGTTTTAAATGACTGTGTTGTAAAATTCACCCAGTGGAAGTTTTGAGAATGGAGACATGTGCAGGACTGTAGGCAAAGCTTTTGAAACGTGTTCCCCATTACATTGAAATGTTTGGCATGTATCCATCATAGCATATGCTGCCTCCAACATTTCCAGTGTCTCAGTGCAGTCTTTCTCATTTGCTCCCTATTCAGAAGCACACTTGTTTATCCTGATTAATTCTGTTTTTTTTTTACTATAGGGCACTTGCATGTTAAAGGAAGTGAAGAAAAAATGTCAAAGTCATTAAAAAACTACATAACAATTAAGGTAATTTCTTTGTTTGAATTGAAGCAATTTTGTAGGTTTGTAATATGTAAATATTAATCACAGCCCTCTTTTGAGAAAGCTTTGGCGTGTGGGCTTGTGCTGCAGTGTTTCTCTAGTACTGATGTATCTGTTTATGTGGATCTGGAGGTAGGATACCTGTTCAGATTCATGGTTTGCTTATAGCAATGGATCTTGCTGAGCTGAGAGTGCTTGTAGGAGCAGAGTTTGTGCCCAGTACCAGAATCCTGCACTGTACATTTGTGGTTGGACTTGACAGTCTCAGGGGTCTTTTCCAACTTGAATGATTCTGTTCTGTAGTGATGGGTTCTCATCAGTCTATCCTTAATAATGCTTTGAAAAAGCATGGACACAGAAAAGAATGGATGTTTTTCTTAGTCCTTCTTTAGGTGAAATGGGACATAGTGTCATTGTTTTGTCATGAAGCTGCTGGGGATCCTGAAGCACACTGTTGCAGCAGTCTCTCCCATTACCCTTTATATGGTGACCTTGCTGAGGCACAGAAGCTTTGCCTTTTGATACCCACGAGCCACATGACTGTGTGATATTTCACTGTGTCCCCAGGTCTTTGGTGTGGCCCAGAGCAGGGTTTCTCTGCCAGCTGTGTGTGCTCCAGCTGTGCTGGGGTGGCTCCCAGGATGGCTGATGCCTACTGCTGGCATAGGGTGATTTCCTTCCTTTAGACAAAGCTTGGGAAACTGCTTTGGCATACATGTTCCCCTTTGCCCTCTTGGAAAAATTAATTAAAATCCCTTTAAAATGAAGTTCAATATGAGCTGCTTTATTCCTAAGTCTTCTGATGCTGTCTGGGGACAGTTAAGCCCTGTTTTCCTGGAGCTCACAATTTTTACAGAAATCTCATGTCTCAGCAGATGTTGTGGACAGGGTGGAGAAATGACCACAAATTCAGTGCATGGAGTTAAAAGCAGCATATAAAAATGTTCCTTTCCATGTCCCCCATGATGGCACAGCTTGTGTTGAGGAAACAAGTATTTCTGGCCTGTCTCTCTTTCCTTGTAGGTCCCTGCTTTTCATGTCTGCCCTTACACATGGGTAACAAGCATTAATCTTTCCTGAGAAGTGATTTTCAATCCAGTGAAACAATTTTTTCCTGTGCAGCTGCCTTGCACCTTGAAAGCTAAGCTACATGGAAGGTTTTATGCCTGTGCCCAAAGAGGGCAGGTCTGTCCAGGATCTTCCCTTGGCCAGTTGCCACCTGCATCCCAGGCTGTCACCTGGGCACAGCAGCCCAGCATTCTCTGCATCCAGCTGCCCTGTTTCCCTCCCCTTGTATCCTACTCCAGTTTTTTATTTCCTTTTTTTAATAGCTAATTTTAAAAATAAATTAATTTAAAATTAATTAATTAAAAAAATTTAATTCTGACCCTGAAAATCAAAGTGATTGTGATAACACAGGGCCAAGCAAGCTGCTTTCAAAGAGCTGTGATTCTTCATCTGTTCTCTGTTTTAAAGGAAATTCAGAGTTGTTTTTTCTAGTTTGGATGGTCCTTTACCAAATTTGAATTTATTTCTGTACTGTACTCATATTGTTCTACCTCTGTATATTAGTGTAAAGCTGCTGGGCATATGGGGTACTCATTTATATCCAGTTTATTTTAAAAACCCACAACAAACAAACAAACACCCACCAAAACAATCAGTACCACTGTTTCTTGATTGTGATTGCCTCAATTATTTCTATTTTCACTTGAGAGACAGCACATTGCTGATGCTTTTCCGCTGTTCAGGCTGGTTTGGTCTTGTACCAGAAGACTATTTCAAAATGTGAGGTTTAAGCAAATAACACTTTCCATATTTTCTCACTTGTACTGTCTTCTTACTATTTTGGATTTTTGTGGTGCTTCAATGATCCTCACCAGTTTGCAAATTAAAAAAAAAAAAAGCAGAAGTGCAATAGTCACAGTCAATCTACCACAGTGTCCAGCCTTGCTGAGAGCAGGGTTGGAAGTGATTGAATGTTTTATTAGTGTACCTTCCAAACATTTAAATAGTTCATTATACTGTTAATATACGTTAATTGTACTAGTAGTAATACTAGTAGTTTACTGTTTACTGGAGTAAATTATTTGTAAAGCTAGATTAATATTAGAGTGGAGTTTATTAGGCTTCATAATTAACACAGATAATTCTTTTTATAGTGCTGGGATTTATCTTTGTTCACTCTCTGTGTTTCTTCATATTCTAGTCCTGCAGAAAAAGCACACTTATTTTCTTTTTCAAGAAATCTTTTTTTTTTTTTTTTGTAAAGTTTTCAAAACTCAGGAGCTTTCCTCTGTGTAAGATTGTATCCCAATCTTAGTCTGATAATTTCATTTTGGGTTTTCTTTGCAAAGGTGTTTTTAAAGTGTATGTTTGATTGTACTTGCAAAGTAATTTTCACTATCTTATATTGGACACTGTGTGTGTGTTTATATCTTGTATATATGTATGCACATCTGTCTTACATGGAATTGAATTTTATTTAGTTTAGGTTTTAAAGCAGTGTTAGAGTTTGAAGATTTTATGCCTGTCTTAAATTGAAAGATGCATTATTTGTCATGTTAGTTTGAAAAGCCAAGGGATGGAAGAGCTCCTGAAGAAACTGATATCATACTAAAGCTGTCCTTTTGTGCATGGAGTTTAGGATTTCCTGAAGAGATGTTCGTCAGATCAGTTCAGAATGTTTTGTTTGCGTGGCAGATACAGCTCAGGTAAGGAGCAGCCCCTCCCTGCTGAGCTGTGCATGGCTTTCCCCACACCTTTCCCAGCTTTCCCCACACCTTTCCCAGCTTTCCCCACACCTTTCCCAGCTTTCCCCACACCTTTCCCAGCCTTTCCCAGCTCTGGAGCAAGCTTCCCGTGCGGGTCCCTGTGGTTCCCAAATGCAGTGGGTGGAAAGGGTTTGGTGGTGCTCTGTGGGGCTGCTCTTTGGCTCACATTTAGAAAATTGTCTTTACTGAGCACAGTACATAACCATTCATTTAAATGCCTTCTTGAGCTGCAGTTAGTTGTGACTCGTAGTTAATTGCACTTTTAATTAATGAATTACCTCTGTCTCTGATTTGCGTCTGTTGTAGTTACTTGTGTTGCAGTCACGATCAGCTGTGGATTTTTGGAGATGTATCCAGATAGAGCTGTGGCTTATATTCCTGTAGAGGGTATGATGAGAGCTGGCTAATAATTTTTTATCTCCCTGCTGTGTTACCATTTTTTTCCTGTGGAGTTCCTGAGTGTTCAGGCAGTTCTGTGCAGTGCAGCTGGCTTAGACCAGCACATGATAACCTAATGAACACCTTAAGTCTGGCAGATCATCTCTCTGCTGATGGGGAGATTTTGTCAGCTTCCCTGGGTACCCCATAGTGTTTCCAGCAGGTAGATGCTACTTTGAGCTGGAAGAGGTTTTTGTATGTCTGTGTTCCTACCAGGTTATTGGGACCTGCCAAAAGCAGATGGTAGTTCCTTAACCATTGCTGGGTCACCTGGCTTATTGGCTGTCCTGGCATGGCAAGGGAATGGTGGAGCATGGGGCTGCAGCTGCTGTGGTGTTCCAGTGGGCCTTGGATAAAGCTCCTGTAGCAGTGTGACTGTGAGAGCTGGCATGGCCAAGGCTCTGGGGCACTGCTCGTGCCTGCCATTGTGCAGTGTGCTGCCAGCCTTTATAGTCGTGCAGTCATTGGACTGAGAAGTCTTTCTGCTTGTTCATACTGCTAACTGCCTTGCAGGAGCCACCCATGTGATCTTCCTGGTGGATCCTCCCTCTTCTAGGGCAGTTGAAGGCATCAGGAATTGAGTAATTGCAGTATTTCAAAGCATGGGATAGTAAAGAGAGAGGTGGTTATTAACTCCCCTGCAACTGTCACAGAAAGAGAGGGGTGTATCCAATTGAAGATCTGCTGCAGAGCAGCATCCTGTTGAGGTGTGCAGTGGATTGGTGGCATGCTTGGCTGTTTTGGGGTGATGCTGCAGGGCAGTGGCAACTTGGCTGATTGTTTCTTTTAGGAGATGAAATACCTTGTGTACACTTAGGTGTCGCCCTGGCTGGGGGCAACTTGGGAGTCATGAGCAAATGTGTGTTTAAAACAAGAGGAAAGACTAACACCTGCTACCACTATCATGTATACATGTGAGCAAGAGCTAAGTGTCTGGTAGTTTCTAACCTTGCCTCAGGACAAGGAATGGCACTGGAGCCCTGTAATGGAGAGGTGCCTGCAGGCTTTCTTCACTCCCTGTCAGCTGGCTGCCTTTGAGCCTGTGGTTTTTGCATTACTTCTAGGATAAACACCCCCCTGAGGCAGAAAAAGAGTGCTACCTGTCTGGATGTGGGTGGCTTTGATGAAAGGATATGGTGGTGTCATATCAGAGTATAAGCCAGTTGGCAGGTAAGGGTTGCTCAAAAGTCTGCACTTCCCACCTCCACCTTACAAGCCATGTGCATTATTAGTTTCCCATAAAGAGCAGAGTTGGTCTCTGCTGAGCCAGGTATTCACTGTGCTGCCTGTCAGCTTGTGTCCCTGCTGTCAATATTCACTTTGGTCTAAACATAACTTTACTGCACTCCTCATCTTGCTGTCTGCTCATATTTTTATTAGAAGTGAGATCCCAGGCACCTTCTTGTTTCTTAAAAGGTTTTTATAGCCTAGACCCATGGGTAATGGCTCCTACCACTCCTACCTGCCAAAGAAAGCCTTTCATAAAATCCAGGTTTGGGGGTCAGGTGGTACCACAAACATTGGATTGAATCTGTAAAAAAGATCTTTGTAGGCACGTGGATGAGGGCAGCTGCTGACAGCTGGGAATGGCTCATGCTTGATACTGTGTTTTCTTTGGCTTGGAATGGACTTTTTTATTGTCTGGGCTACCCCCCTGTCTCTGTCTGTGCTAACAGGCACAAATAGAGACAAATGTGAGTCCCAACTTCCCTAGCCTTGGAGGGGCAAGGGTTGAAAGGGGTGTGTGCAAGGAGGTGCACGTGTTTCATGGGTGTGGAGTCCCTTCCTGTGATGATCACTGTCAGAGGGAGGATAAAGCTGCATGCCTTGCTTGTGGGGAAGAGGAGAAAAGTTAGAGAGAAGAGACTTTTATCATCCATAATGTATTTTTGTATGAGGTTCCTCTGCTTCATCTGTCTTTCTGCCTCTCTGGTGGTGGGGAAGAGCTGCTCTGTGTGCAGCTGAGCTCTGGGGGCAGTGGGGATTCTCTGGGCTGTCAGTGACAAAGGAGGGAAGGAGTGGGGAGCACAATGGTTTGTAGGACCAGTGCTGTGCTGTGGGTTTGCAGTGCCTGCAGGCAGTGGTTTAGGAGTATGCCCTGAACTAGGGATGAAGAATGAACTAAAGTAGGTTTCATCAGGATAAACTTTTATCAAGTATTCCTTGCAGAATTCTTGTAACCAGGTTAATCAGTTGAGTAATCCTAGTGTATGTAAATGATCATTCTCACTGTCTCACTGTGTTGTAGAGGTGTATACACTGATCTTTTTGAAAACTGAGTAAGACTTGATTTAATGAAGCAGTAATGCAGATTTTTAATTACACACAAGTGAAAAATCTGACAAATACAGGTCCAGACTTACACTTTTGTTACACTGGGGTAAATCCTGTATAAAGTCTGTTTAAACAGTTAGGCTTCCTTGGGATTTAGGCTAATGGAAATGAGATTGGGTCTCACATCTGGCTGCTTTTTCCCTCTTACATCTGTCCTCTTGGTAGAACTGTTTGCTCTAAAGAGTCTGTCTGGGCAGCACTGGGTAATTCTACAAAGCAGCTGGATGCACCACAGGCAGGACCAGAGGTGAGATTTCTGTGGAAGCTATGGGTGATGCTCAGTGCTGATGATACCAGGAGTATGCTGGCAGCTGTAGTTTGGATGTACCTTATTGCTGAGATCAGGAGTGCAGCAGTGAAGCAATGCTGCTCTGGCCATGGATGGCTCTGGTGTGGGGGAAGGAATGGGGGAAGGAGTGCACTCAAACTTAGGCCTGCCCTAAGGACACAACTTCCACTGAGGTCAGGTGAGCTCTCTTATGTGGGGTCCAAAAGCTTTTCTACAGAAAATTGCACATTCCTGTACAATTAATAAAAAAAAAAGCCTGTCACTGATAGCAATTCCCAGTATAAAAGTGACAGTGAGCTTGTCTGGCACCCCTGCACTTCACAGGGTGCAGGCAAGGCCAGGGGAGCCTGCTGAACTCCTGCCAGCAGGAGTGGGCTCTGGAAGCTCCCAAGGTAGAATTGACTGCCAGAGGTAGGGTCTCCCTGAATGCAGTGGGGATGTCTGTGTGCATGGATGCCTTGTTATAGTGGTAGGGCTGATGTTACTGTGGCTGCTGGAAGAGAAGCTCTGTAGGGTTCCTGTATGGCACATCTCATTGCAAAGTGGAGCTCAGCTGTGGATGCAAGGAATCATTTACCTTGAGGTTTTATCTTTCTTTCCAGTGGCCATAAGAGGCTTTGATATGTGTGAGTGTGATGAATCCCATCCTAGACATGCCCTTGTGAATTTAAGCAATTTGTATTTTCTCTAAAAATAGCTTTCTCAAAGTGGTGTGGTCAGTTTAGCTTTGATGTGAGGGAATTGTTCAGGAGCTAGACCACAAATTTTGGGTTCATCTAGATTTTAGATGCTGGTGAAGCAGCCCTTTAAGCAGAGTTGCTAGTGAGGGTTAGGCTTCTTTGGACATCTCCAAATACAGATTGTGCCTACCTAAATTAGAATTGGCACAAAATTAGAGATACGTGTTGCCATTACTAGAACACTTAGAAGTATATTAAATCCTGCTGCTTTGAATTGATAATTTTGCAGAGAAATTCAAAAATGGAAAAAAATTCAAGTTAAAGAGTGATTGCTTCAGTAAACTTCCAGATTCAACTTTTTGAATCAGTTTGATAAGTGTTCCAGTAGGTTATACTTTGTCATATGTAGTGATTGTCTTTTATAATGATTTAATCCTCCTGGTGTGCATGAAGAATGGAGCTTTTAATTAAATGTGCAATTAATTGTAAGAAGTTTGCTATGCAAATAGTAACAAACTTCTCCTTTGTCTCCAAATTATTCCTATGTATGACAGACAACATTTTCTCCATCATAATGCCTTGATTTCTTTTTTCTTAGCAGTAGAATTTAGTGAGGAGAGCATGGAAGATGCAAAGAACCTTCTTCAGGCAATCTCCTCATTTATTAGAGATGCAAATGCTTATATAAAAGGACAGCTGGTGTGTGACCCTGTTAGAGAAGACATATTGTGGGAAAGGTAAGTGCACTTCCTGTATCTTAAAAGATTGTGATTATGTGAGCAGTAGTTGGCTGACAGACTCCTGTTTAAGAAGCAGGACAAGAAGGACTAAGCAGCAGTCCTCCCTCCCAGCCCAAAAACAAGGGCAGGTTTTTAAAAAATTCTCTTTCTAGCCAGCTGTTTTTGCTCTTAGTCTGCTATCCTCAGCTCACTGTGGTTTTAAGATCTGTGTTACTTTTCTGGTGTGCCTGTCCTAACACAGTCTTGGCCCCTCGTGGGTGATGTAGGAGGCAAAGCTGTGGCAGTTGTGAGGCTCCCCAGTTGTAAGCAGAGCTGGGCTGTGGTGCCTGGAGAAGAAAGAGGATGAATGGAGAGTGACACACCTTGGGCACCTGGATTTGTAATCAGGCTGGCTGGCACTGTGGTGTGCTGCAGAGGGGCTACTGAGAGATTGGCCATGGGCAGGGATGTCACAGGGCAGGAAGCAATTCCAATTGTTGTGACCTTGACAATGCTGAGGAGAATCCTTTGGAGTCCATTATGAAAACCAGATTATCTTCAGGACTGAGATGTGCTGTGTGCAAAGCTGAGAGCAGAGCACGGAGTCAGGGTAGGAGGGCACTGAGTGCCCTGAAGCAAGGTTAGTGCAGGCAGCCCTGGGCTGCACAGTCAGAGGGGAGACAGCCTGTGCTGTGGAGGTGAGAGGCAGCTTCTTGTGGCTCAGGCACCTCACTGTTGTGGGGGAAGCTTGGGCCTGCACTGACTGAGGGTTGCAAGGGGCACTGGAGCACATTACAGGAAAGTGGAGTTGCATTAATTAGCTGTGGTATTTGGCAAAAGCAAATCCTTCAGCAGGAGGCTGCAGGAGATCTGTTGGTGCAAGATAAAGCTGAGAGGTGTGAGGAACTTGAAATGGATAATCAGTAGGGGATGTGTGGGAGGGCACAACTTGTGTATTCCTAGGTGTAAAAACAACCAAAATGAAACAAAGCTCATAATTAGGCAAGTGTTAGATACTCAGTGGAGAGGGGTAAGGTTGCAGGGAAAAGTGTTGGGAAGAATGAATTAGAACAGCAGCCATCCAGTATCTGAGGGGAGGTAGGCATTCCAGGCAAAAAAGTACAAAAACAGGTAAAATAAGGCTCAGGAGAGCCCCAGAGATGCTAGGACAGCTTGAGGTTCCCCTGTTCCTTGCACTGTTTTGGGAAATGGGGCAGTGCTGTCAAGCTCTGGTTCACCTGGCTGTGTGTGGGAGCACTCTGCCAGCAGCTGTTTGTGGCTCCCCATTTATCCCTGCTGCTCTCTCATCTCCCTCTCCAAGTGGCTGCACCTGCTGGTGCTGGTTCTGTGCTGATCAGTGCTGGTTGCCCACTGGCTTTTGGCACTGCTACACAAATGGTCCCACTGGACCCTTCCATCTGGGCCATGGTGAGTGCAATCCCTTGGGACTGGGGCTGGGCTCTCCTGGGAAATGAGGAGGCAGTGCTTGGTTCTGGCCAGCCCCAGGACAGCTTCCTTGCCAGGCACTGGAGAGCTGCCTGTGATGTGTCTTTGGAAGAGAAGCATGCTGTTAGCATGATTAATGGACTGCTGAAAAAAAAAAAAACAGAACTCAGTAAGATCTTTGATATGCTTAATATCAGTCTCATTTTCCATCTGTTTTTAAATGATTTAAGGCAAACTTTGCTCTGTTGTTGTTGGCCCCTCTGATTAGCCATGTATATTTATTGAATGGCTGTAACATTAGGATTTTGACATGCATCAAATTTTTCCCTTCACAGCAGAAAGATGTATTCTCCCTGATGAGTGCAGCACTGCCCATCACAGGACAGCTGGGAAGGAGATGGCAGTGTCCTTTCAGTGACTCCCTCTGGCTGAATGGCTGATGAATACTGCTGGCATCTTGTTTGTCTTATCTTAAATGTTACCTTTTCTTCTTGAAGGCTAGCCAACACAAAAGTAACCGTGAAGGCTGCGTTTGCAGATGACTTTGACACCTCCAGGGCTGTTGCAGCAATTATGGACCTCATTCACCATGGCAACAGACAGCTTAAGGCTGTTACTAAGGTAACCCATTAGGATACAGAGATCAGAAAATGACAGCTGTCCACTGTCCTACTGCTTAATGCAGACAGATTAGTTTATTGTTCACATAAGAAACCAGCAGAAACAAAGCTCCATAAATTTTTGACCTTAATGGAGCCCATTTGTCCTGACCCTATCACAGGAATTGTGCATGGCTATTGTTTTGTGCTCTGTTGTGTCCAGAGGATGTTTCTTTCCTGCTACCCTGTATTGCTTATACCTAAGGCTTTTGGAAGTCCTGAGGCTGTTGTGACCTGCTGCTAATTTTAGTGCTGGTTCTCTGTTCTTACACTGCTTCTTTGCTTAATACCCATGCACAGAAATTAAGCTAAACTGGGAAGGGTGTGGGGTGGTTGCTGCAGGGGCTTTGGCCAGCAGCCCCAGGTGCACTGGACAGTCTTGGTGGTGAGTTCAGTGCTGGGGACTGAGTGGCTTCTGCTGTCTTCTGTAACTGGCATCAGCATGAGTCTGTCTTCAGATGGCTTTTGGCAAATTAAGACCCTGTTAAGATCTCTCATACTGACTCAAATAAAGAATCTGGTAAGGACAAGATCTGAGCAGTAAACACTGTCTGAAGCACTTCTGGGTTCTCCATTTACCCACAGCTCCCTTTATCACTCGAGGCGAGCACCTCAGCCTTGTTGCTGTGCTCTTTGAGTACTGGTGTCATCATGTTCACCATGTGTGTGCAGTGAAATAAATGTTGTGTACGTGATAATAACTGGTTTTAAGGGAGAATTAACCTGTTGGTTTAGAAATCTTGCCTCACTCTGGTCTGGTTTTGGCATTGGCTTTCCATTTTGTCCTTAGCCTTATCTTTACAAATAAGCAAATCTTTACAGATTAGCCTTAGCCTTATCATTACAAATGATCTTTACAATCTGAGTGAATCCCTGACCTGAAACACTCTGCAGCAGGGATCTGTAATGGCATTGCCACTCCTAGATACAACTACCCCCATTTTGTCAGTCACTGCTTGTTCCCCCTGAATTCCTCCTGTCAGTTGTTTTGTTGAGAATGGGATGGGATATTTGTGGGGCAGCTGACTTGGATTTCTGGTTGAGGTGGTGGAGCTTTTCTGGGTACATCCCAGCTGTCTTTTTCTGGGTACTCCCAGCTGTAATGAAGAGAGTGTTCCCTCTTCATTACATGTGTAGTAAAGTAAAATTCCTTAAGAACTGTGAGTAAATCCACATAACTACTTATTCCTCTCTTTAGCCTTCCTGCTAAGCATTTCCCACCTTAGATGGCACACTCCTGCTCCTTTCTCCCAGTGGCCTGCTCCAGCTCCTCCCAGTTCAGACCTTCCTATACATTTTAGACTATAGCTTATCTCAGGCCTTAGTGAAGATGTCAGATAAAATCCAGTACCAGCTGCTGATTAGCTTGTGCATGTCATCACTCTTATTTTTTAGACAGGGGTTAGTCTCTTAAATGGCTCCTCAGTCTGTCATTTAATCCTTATTGTATTGCTGCTGCTGATTGCTGCTGCTACCAGGGCATGACAAAATGCCATACACTATCTCAAAGCAGCCTCCACATGGATCAAATCAATAAGATACTCAAAGAATTTGGTTTTAATCTTTTATATTATAGGTGTCCATGAATGTGGGATTTTGTTCTTTTTATTTTGTTTCCATACACACAGCCCTTTCATGCCCAGAAGTGCTATTTTTAGTTCTAATTTACTGCACACGTGTAATGTGTGGCAGCTTCTCACATCTCTTCTTGCTGCACCGGCTGGTGATCAGCTCTTCCCTTCCCTTGCTTACTTAAATCCCTTCCCTTTGTGCTGTGAGGTGCTTTTGTATCTCTGTAAGATTGCTTGTCTGGGCAGGTGTTCCTGATAGAGGTAGATCTTTATAATTAGTAGTAGTTTTCCCTTGTGGACTAAGCTGCAGAGAGATGCTGGGCTCTGTAATATGTATTGACTGGACAATCTCTTTTGAGTGTTTTCTTAACAGGATGCTGGATCTCCTAGAAGCTCTGTTGTGTATGGAAGCATTATTTCCTATATTGAAGGCTTTTTCAGTGCCCTTGGGATGTCCTTTGAGGAAAGACAGGTAATGAAATATCTCTTCTATGTGTTTGAGGATATGGTAGCAGCCCCAGTGTTTCATAGAGTGCTTTCTGAAAGCATGGGATGTAACAAAGTTATTTATGGTTTTAGTAAACCTTTCTGCACTGCTTGCACTTTCTCCTGTGATGTTTTAGGAGAGTGTGTGAGCAGGTGGAACAAAATGGGGCCTTTTTAGTTCTTGGAGGTGTTCCCATGTGACTTCTGCACCAGTTTTGCTGTGGAAATGAAAGACTGAGGAATGAAACAAGAAAAAGTTAGCATTGGAGGCAGTTACATCGTCCTGTAATGTCTGGCTTTGCTCAGCTTTTCCTCTTCTTCCTGATGGTTGCATCCAGGGTGGCTTTGATAGCTGTGTGAATATTTGCAGTTGTGAGGGGTCCCACTCCTCTGCAGAAAGCCAGGGGAAGGGGCTGCTCTGCCTTGAGCCATGGGGGGGATGTGGGGAGGGGAGGACAATGAGCTTACATAACTAGTTCTTGGAAAGATAGGAATGGGGAGAGGAAAAAAAAGGAGAGAAAAGCTCAAAGCAAAGTACTGAATGGGAAGAAGAGTCATCAATATGGGGGTGATATCCCAATGTATGGAAGCATTTAAAATGACACAAGGTGTTGGAGAATAGCAGGGTGTTCTTTGCTCCTCTCCTGCTCAAATATGCAGCTGAATGCAAAGCAGTGGAAAACTTTCTGTAGAGAAACTGTTCTGCAAAACAGAACAGTTATTTTGGGGAGGGGGACAAGAGAGTAAGAAAATGTAACATTATTCATCCTTTGAAAATCAGGCAGTATAGTGGTAAATGTTTTTATTTAGTTTGCCTCCATGGATTTTCTCACAAAATTTCTTTCAAAACAGTGTCTGATGTGATTTGGCTGTGTGTTACTCCTCACAGCCCATAGTTTGCATGTTAATTTTTAGTGGCATACTGAACATTTACATTTTTTTGTTAGCTGGATGGCAAAGTCATTCCTCCAGATTCTGGGCTGTCTATATGCAGGCATCTGCTGCACCTATATTTTTGCTGAAACAAGTATCTGAATGCTTCTCTTTGTTTTAGGCTGTGCTAGTCCCTTTCTCTGTGTGGCAGGAGGATCAGCAGAAGATGCTGGTCTGAGATAAGCAGGAAGAAAGGAGCAGCTCATCAGACTCCTCTCTGTTCCTCTGCTCTTTCACCTTGCAGTAAAGGAATCTGTCAAAATCTTCATCAGAAAGGTCCATGGGCTACCACAGTTTAGTAAATAAAATGGTGTAGGAGTTGCTCCCTGACTCTGAGACCAGCCAGAACAGCTCAGCATCCAGCCTTTCATGCCTCTTAGCCAGGTAGCCCCAGGCATGCAGCTTGCCAGGAGCAGTCCCTGACCACAGTGGGTGCTGCCACGTGTGGGAGAGGGCTGCCTGGCCTGGACACTGCTTGCTGACAGTGCAGAGGATACAGGCAGCAGTGTTTGGGCCCCCTTGTTTGGATGTTTGCATGTAGCCTGTGGGTCTGTCTTGCTCCTGAGCTGGGATTCATCTCAGCTAATCAGCCTAATGTAGCTGCCTGTGCTTCTGAAGTATCAGTGGGGATGCTAAGGAATGGCTCATCTCAGTCTATCTCTATTAATAAGAGAGCCTGTCTCTCTCTCTGCATTGGCAAGAGAAGATCTTATCCACAGGGAGGTAAGATGGATCCATGTGGAAAGGTGATGAGTGAAAACCATTGTGCCTGTTTTAGAGCTGGGAAGCTTTTGCTCTCCCAAAGAGTGCAGTCCTGAGTGTATTGCAGGTGCAGCTGGGGCCAGTCTGTGGAGTAAGAAAGGGCCAGAAATTTGAGATCAGCCCTGAGAGGCTGTTTTATGTGGCAGACTGGTTCATCTCCTAAAGCTGCTCTTCCTTTTGAAGGCTCTCACTCCAGTGGGTGCCTGGTTTGACCTCTTTCAGTGGTGTTTCTAGAGGCATGTTTCTTGCTCCCAAAGCCATTGTGGCTTTCCCTTCTGTATTTAACTATTTATCCTGCCACAGGTTACTGTGGAGTGTTTCTGACACTTAGATTTATGACCTTTTTCGATCTCATAAACTTCTTTAGTATGGTTACATGTTTTGAAAGCTTGAGGAATTCACTGCATTTCACACTCTTATCTTCAATAGTTTCCCCCTCACTTCCTCCTCCTGCTCCTCTTTTTTGTCTGTGACCTCTGAAGCTCTGCTCCCTTTCATTTCCATCCTGCTGTTTGGTGACTAAACTCAGACCCTTCTGACTTTAATTACTCAGCAGCCCTTCTGCTCCCAGATGATGTTGCTGCCAGGAGCTTTGCCCATGGCCTTGGTGTGCTTTGTGCTCCCACTCTCGTGTCCTAGTGATAAAACACCACGGTGAGGTTCTCTTGTTTCTTGGAGGTTTTTCCTTTTCCTCCCCTTGGGAGTTTGCCTCTAATGAGAAACAGGGATGGTGTCTCTGCCAAGAGCAAGACCAGGAGCCTGGCTGTGCCAGTGCTGAGGAGTGGCCTTCCTCTTCAGCTGACTGCCAAGCTCCCATCCTGGCAGCTGTTGGAGCAGGACTGAGTCTGTTCCTTTGCTGAGCATTGATCAGTGAGACTCCTGCCAAGCCAAAGGAGGCCAGGGAAGCTTGGAAGTGGCTGAGGGGAGGAAGGGGCTTGGCTGCAGCCAGGAAATATCCATGCCCTGTGTGCAGTAGCTGCTGCTTCTCTCAGCTTTTTTTGAGTGGCTGAAACTTTGGGTAATGTGGATCAGATGAAAGTTCTGTGGATTTGAGAAGGGTTTCTAAAGATGAAGGGAGAAAGGATAGGATGGACTGGAGACTTAAAGGCAAAATACTTACTTTTCCTGGTTTGTGTTTCCTGAAGGAGGTCTGGAGCTCAGACAGAGTAAGGGGCTGATGTATTCTCTGTCTTTGGACTTCTACAGCCAAGGAGCTGTCTGAGCTGGTGGCTAGGCTTCCCTTGCTGTTTTGGATTCCTGTTGCCAGGCCTTTCTTTACATTAACTTGTCAGATCCCTTTTTAAGTTATGTACGTTTCTGGCGTATCCGGGGTGGAGATGAGTTCTGCTGTGTGTTGTGTTCATGTGAGAGCACTCTGCTCCAAGGTAAATGCTTTCTTGTGCAGGAATATGCTGAATTACTTCCAAGTGTGACTCCACTGTAACTTTTTGTCCAGCGTTAGTGAGACAGTGACATTTTAACCCTACCAATATATGGAAGATGCACAACCAAGAGAGGTGATAAAGTCTCACATTGCTATGGAGATGAGGTTGATTTTTTTAATCTCAGATGTTTGTAAAGCCCTCTGTTTGATTTCTAGGCGGCTGTGGGAGGAGACAAGTCTGCAGTGCTCTCCAATGTCATTGAAGAGCTGGTGAGGTTCCGCTCCAAGGTCCGGCATTACGCGCTGGCTCTGCCTGAAGCAGCGGACGCTGCGCCAGTGGAGGGTGCTGCAGGAGCCCAGGGATCCAAACAGGAGCAGAAGGAAAAGAGGAAGCAGTTAATGCAGGAGAGAAAGCCCCTCTTGGAGGCTTGTGACAGTCTGCGTGGAGACCTTGCTGCCTTTGGAATCCACATCAAGGTAGAAGACAGTGACTCTCAATCACTTTTTAAGATAACATATTTTTGTCCTTCATTCCCCTTCAGCAGCTTGTGGTGTGGTGCCCTGCTCCCTGTGTGACTGCAGTAGCAGGAGGTGGAAGTCAAGTCCTTGTTTGGCTATACTTCTCTTCTGCTGCCTTCTCTTCTGCTTCCCCTCAGCCTTGTTGTTGTGTTTCCATGCAAGCCACTAATAATCTCATAATATTCAGAAATCTCTAAGTTGCCCAAGTTCAGTCCAGAAGGAAGGGTGTGAGTAATGTGTGCAGCTTTAAAGATTGCAAAGGAACTGGAAAGTAAAGCAAGATGACTTGTGAAAATAATGCCTTCCTTCTACCTAGCCCACACTTCCCACCAAAAATAAGTCTTCATGAGAAAGCCTCTTCCATCTTCAGCAGCTTCATTTCCAATTGTTCCTGAGCCATGGAGACTCTGCCCAATTCCTGTACCACTCCTCTCTCAATCCTGCTTTCTACTTTTAGCCTACACCTAATGCCAGTATTCTTTTCCATTATCTCAACAGCATCTCTGGCTTGGGAGAAAACCCTCTATGGCATTACTGCCTTCCTCTAGTTCCAAGGACCTGCATTATTTCCTTAAGTGCTGCTTCTTCCAGTTCCTCTGGTCATTGCCCTTCTTGCCTCTGTGAGGCGAGGGTCAGTGTTGCTCCTTGAGTGCAGAATAATCCTCTGCATTCTCTCCCTCCATCCAGTTTATACTGTCCATTTTTCCTTTCCTTGGGAACGGATGCTGGCAAGTCTGGTTCCATAGTTCCGCCAGTGGGAGGATGGAAAGCACAGTGACATCAGGGAGTGGCAGCACACATGCTCCAGCTGCTGAGCCTGAGGGCTGTCACTGGTCACCGCTCCTGTTGGAGCGCAGCGCGGTCGGCGCTCTGCTCTCTTGGGGGGCAGCGAATGTGCCGGCACAATCCGGGGTGAGGGCCAGGGCGTGGTGCTGGTGGTGGTGAGCTGCAGCTGAGGAAGGAAACTGCAACATCTGCTTCCTTTAACTTGTTTGTAAATCCCCACTACACTCACCTGTCAAGCAAGTTGCAAATCCAAACAACTGTGCTGAGACAAAGTCTTGGAGAAGCAGCCTGCCTTTTCATCTATTGGGAAAATGCTGCAGCTCCACCTCCATCCTTTTGCAGATCTGTTTTGGTTTGTTTTTAAGGAGATTTACATTTGAAAACCCCACAAATGAGCCAGGATTCAAACCATTCCATTCATTAAAAAAAAATTTAATAACATGAAGCTCAACATAATTTGACCCAGACTAGATTGCTCCAGAAGACAAAGCACAAATGCACTTAGGAGCACACACAGAGCAAGCATCCAAAGCTGAACTCCTGCTTTTTTTGCTGATACTGTGGAAGTGTCTGAAGGTGTGTTGTGAAGTTAGCTTACACCTTGCTTTTGCAGATCCCAAAGAGTCCTGCAAGCTGAGTGATGCAGCTCTGCAATTACTCACACAGGCTCACTAAATCATGTGTGCAAGGAGACACAGCCTACACAAAGCAGGACTCTACCCACCCTCTTGCTCAGCATGAGTCTGCCTGGCTGGGGCAGCTGATGCCAAAAATGCCCTGGTAAAACAGCACCTAACAGGGGTCCTGCTTGCCTAATAATTGCTTGAGGAAGTTATGTGAATTTCTCATTTCTGCCCAGCCCCTCATTTCCACAAAATGTTTGAGCCTCACACCGTTCATGCATTAATGCCAACACACTGCCCTCTGTCACTGTGAGGCTCAAGCAAGGCAGCGACTTCTGAAGTCCATGTGCAGGTGGAAAAGCAGCAGAACAGATGAAGCAGACAAGCTTCAGCTCCATCCAGTGCAGACTGGGACCCCCCTGGTTGGAGGCAGGGCAGGAAAGGGGTGGCTTGAATAGAAGCCTAATTTTCTTAAAAATCAGCTTTGTAGAAAGGGTAGTTCCTCTTTCAGGTTCTAGCTTGTGATTTCCCTAGTCTGGTTTCTTCTGTCAGTTTGGTCATTGCAAAGGATGTTGGCTGAAGTTACATATCTTGCAACAGACTGATTAAAAAAATCTATGTGTCTTTTCTTGTCATTGTGGCATGCTTGGAAGCTGTGCTACCAAGTGAAATGTATTTAGGCATCAAAAAGTTTTCATTTTCATGTAAAAAAAGATTCAACAATTCCAGCTGCTCTCATGAGTCAGCACTCATGGAACATCATTGTGTGTCAATGTTCAGATTAACTTTAATTTTCAACCATTGCAAACAGCTGGTTCTAAATAGAATGTTCAATTTAGCTGTAATATTGCCTTTCAGAAATATTACAGTATCACATTAGATAGATTAAAATCAACAGGCTTCTGTCCTGAGTTCAGATCAGACATGGTCAGCAGTACATTCATATGTATTGAAGAAACATGAGCCATTGAGACTTGAAAATACAATTGCATGAGTTGAGTGTAGCTACTCATGTGAGAGGCTGCACTCCCCTGCAGCATTCCATGCTGAAGAGGTGACATTTCTACTCTGTATTTCTTCCCTCTGAGCTAGGAAAAATTGTCTAGTTTTGTTTCAAACTCTGAGCATTATTAGTAGCAGTGGCATTCCTGTGAGATTATATTCCCACCTCTTTTGCTCAATTGAATGAACAGCTTTGCTGAGTGAATCTTGGTTAAAAAACCTGTGATCCACTTGGGCTGGACTGACCTGCTTACTTTCTCTTACAGGACAGAGCTGCTGTTTCAACCTGGGAAATTGTGGAAGGAGGGCAGACAGAGAAGCAGACTGAGAAAAAAAGCTGATCCTTCATCCTTGGACTTGTTTTTTATTTCAGCTACTTCAGCAACTGTTGTAAATACTAATTCTTTCAAAATAAAATCTGTTGAACAGAATGGCTAAAAAGGATAGCATGTAATTAGAGGAAAACTGTTGGCACTAGTACTTGGTAAATAAATACAGGCCTTGCAGCACAGGTGGTGGAAGCATCCACAGTGCAAGGCAGCACAGGAGCAGCTGAGCTGATTTAACACCATGAGGCATGGGTCTGTTCTGCTGCAGGAACTGCCCCAGCCCAAAGGCTGTGCCACCTGCCCTCAGCCCGTGCTGCTGACCTGACACAGAGTTTAAACATTGAGAAGGCAGAGGCAAGAACTTAGGCCTGTCTTTAAGATGAAAACACTTAAGTTTTATGCCTGTTGGTCTGACAATTCTGTTCCTCTCAGACATAGGAATGGGGGATACTTTTAACCTCAAAGTATTTCCTTATTGCAGTGGTGCTGCTTTGATCCTGTGAAACCTTTACCTGTAATATGATGGTATCCAGTTACCTGTAAGGCTTGGTACTTTTGTTTGCTTTTGCACAGAATACAAGGAGACTTCTCTAGCACTGGGAGTGTAGCACGCTCAGGATCTCTCCAGAATTAGGAAGATAAAATTAGGATATATATATATATATGTATATATATATTAGTATAAAGTATATTTAGTTTTTACCTGTTCAGTTACCTTTTTGCTGGCCATGGCTGTTGTGGGTATGGGCAGAGCCTCTCTTACACCTGAGGTGAGCTGTGTTCTAGGGCCTGTGTTGATACAGGGCTGGTACTTACCTGGTACCTGCACTTTCTTTAAATCAGTTTACAAAAACGTAAGAACCAAAAACATGGGTTCATCTACAAAGCACTTATGTGTTTTCAAAGTGTCTGTTCATAAGGATAAAGGCTTTCTTTTATACTGTTGAGAATAGAATGTGTAGCTTGTTTTCTGCTCCCTTTCTCCATTATCTGTACTTCAGGAGAAGAGTGGGGTGTCTCTTCATTCAGCACTGGGGCACAGGTGCTTATTTGACACAGCTGCTATTGTACATTTGCTCGTGGCAGTGTTGTTCCAGCAAAACAGAGTGAATGGTGAGCAGCAGCTCAGCTGCTGTGGGAAATGGGATCAGCACACACCAAACAAAGTCCAGTCCATTTGCTATTATTTTTATTTCCTACCAAAAGAAACTGCTACATTTCCAGAATGTTTAAAAATTGTAACAATTCGTATACATTAGTGAATAACGGAGTTACAACTTCTGTGTAGCTTTAAAACCAACAGGGCAAGTTGAAATCTGTACTGAGCTCTGTTAATTGATTGACTTCGCCTACTCATCATTATAATACCACTGATGTTCTAATTACAAGAAAAAAAATCACTTATTTTAAAGGCAGCAGCTGTTTTAAAAATCAGTTTTACCTTTCTGATTTAATTTAAAAGTAGTCAGGTTTCTCAAATACATTTAAGGGGAGGATTAATAGCTTAAGTTTCCTCAAAGATGCAGACAGTTTACAAAACTGCTTAAATTAAACACTAAAACCTTATTTCTTAAGAGTAGTCTGTGAACCCTCATAGAGCAACACAAGCAAACACTTAAAAACCTATTTTAAAAATAGGTAACTGGTTTAATAAGAAAAAGAAAAATGCATCAGGGTGAGGTAGTAGTCACAGTGCATCCATAAACACCAACTCTAAGGGCTGAAGGGAAATACTTGGAGTAGCCTTTCTGATTCTGGGTGCTTTCTGCAGGCAGCTATTGCAAGGAATGAGAACAGTCTGACTGGTCTGAGACACCACATTCCAGCTGAGAGCATTGCAGGGGTGGCTGTGCTGAGCAGGAAACATCCCCTGCAGGAACCAGATGCATTATGTGCTTGTTCCAGAGCTTTAATGAGCAGCAACTCTTGGAGCTGGACTGGAGGGTCAAGGGCAGCACCCATTTAAATTTACTTTGCATGAACTTGCCTCCCTCTCCAGTCAGGTTCAATCTCTACAAGCTTTGACTAAATCTCCAAAAATTTAAGGAATGGTCCTGTGCAAAATCCCACAGAAGTTCTGCTTTACACCTAATGCTTGCCTGCTCTGCCAGTGTGCCAGATCAGTGTGGCACTGACAGTGGCTGTCTGTCCTGCAAAGATAAGTAAAAGCCTCAATGCTTTTTGCTCTAAAATCTTCTGCTTTTTGCAGTGCTAAGGACTGCACCTGAAGCTCAAACACAGACCACCATTTCTGCTCCTGCCTTTGACTTGCAGCACATGCCTGCACTGTGCTGTGAAGGCACAGGTACGAGCCCTGGGCTGCCTTTTGTTCCTCCAAGTTGTATTCCTGCTGGCTCACTGCTGTCCACCTACAGATGTGTGTGCTGGGCTGCTCTGAGCTCCAACCCAGCAGGCAGCTGCAGTTTTAGAAGCACTTCACTGTTCCATGATCACTGAGAGCTGAACCAGTTCTGCTGGGTATCACTGAGTTTCGTGCCCCACCTAGTACCTCTCCAAATGACAATTTCACAAGTTCATTGTGCTGAGTCAAGACCAGATAAAGAAACAGAAATTTATTTCTTTTCCAGGCAAGCCTAATTATTGTTTAATGAATTTTACTGCCAAGATACCTATAGCATATCTTTATTCTGCCAAGGGGGAACTTTAAAAAAAAAAAAAAAGAAGACATTGCAGGAAGGGATGCCTTGTCTAAATGAATGCTGCCTCTAGGACCGGGAATGGGAAAAGGCAACTAATTACATTCAAAATCTACAGCAACTCTCATGCATTCCCTTTCCAAAGAGGCTTACTTTTTGCTTCTTATTCTACTAGCATGGCAAAAAATGAAGTGCAATAGCTAATTCTAGACAGAGGGTCTAAGAATGACAAGTGACAACCTTGGTGAAATCCAAGAAATTCAGTTGAGCTGGTGGAAGAATTTCTTCTAAGTATCAAGTGCATTTTTTTTGTTTTTGCTGTTCACACTTTAGTTATTGCTCAATAACTATCAAAAAGAACAGAGGAATACTTTCAGTTCAGTTTTATTATATTATAACAGATCTGCAACTACAGCTTATTTCAGCCAAAACATTTTTGTATCCCAAACTCTTAAAAAATATCTACATTAATCATATTTTTCTATTCTTAAAAATAAAAAAATCTACCTAACATACCAATGCTGCTACAGTACTTGAAAGGGTGCATTATGTAAATTCTACGGTACATGTAATTACTCTTGCTTGTACATTTTCTTCTCTGCTGCTTTGGCTTCAGGTTTCAAAAAGTTTGTTAAAAGCTGTTCCAACTTCTGAAACCATGTCAGAGGCTGTCATTGAACGTCCAAATTTCTGAAAGGCTTGCTGGTTAGACTGCCTTGTGAGAGAGCAAGCTCCAAATGCAGCCACTAGAAAGGGATTTTGACTGAAAGGAAAGAAACCAAAGAACAACATTATAAAGAGAATACTCCCAACACTTCTGTGCAATCTGTGAGGTGGTGGACATCATCTTTATACCCATAAATGTTAGCAGTGCCAGGAAGGCCTCTTAAGCAAACATGTTTTCATCTCTTGCACTGAATTTGTCTGAATTTTTTAAATTAAATTCCTTCCTACCCATGGCACAGCATGTGATGAGAAACGCCACCAGGGCCAAAGCACCCAAAATGCCAACAGGCTTAAAAAGTGGGGAAGGTGTTCCATGTCTAGTTTAACTGATGTGAAGCTTCATGCTCTCCTTCAGAGGAAGACTGAAGGCTCACCTGACAGCCTTTCAACCCCCTTTCCTCTCCATTCTCTGGGTAACTCCATTTAGATTTTGTCTTGCAGAGGTGGGGGAAGGTCATGGGGATGCAAACAAGAGATGATTTTGAGGAGGGCCATAAAGACTGCTCCAGGGCCTTCATTAGATCAGCTTAAAAGGGTTACAGTGGCAAGTGAAGACCACAACACAAGCTAAAGCACTGCTGTAATGCCTCCTACACACTAATGAACTGCCCAAGAGTGTACCCAGACCCAGATCTGCAATGCTGAACCTCCCCCACAGAAGCCAGCACACTCCAGAGCCACCTCCACCCTTCACCTCCAGAGCATCTTTTCATAGGCTGGGCCATGGGAGTCACTTCTGCTGCCTTAAAACAGAAAACAACTGCAGAATAGTTCAGCAGCCAGTGCTGTGCTTCAGGTCTGGCCAATCAGAAACCTCACAAAGACCTCACAGAAACCTCAGCTGAGCATTGCTGCCTGGAACACACTGAAGACCTCCTGACTCCTGCCAAGTGAGAGTTTTGTGAAGGATCCCAATGTAAAACACAGACAAAGCAGGACATGACTTTACAATTAGGTGCTAGCTAAGCAAAATCTCCATGTACTCATCAAGGTGCAGGAGTATTTAAGACACCTTGAGAGTTAATCCTGGATGCCCAAATAGTGCTCTGAAACATGAGCTGTGTACAGGCTCCTGGGCTCAAAGCTGCTAAAGCACCAAACACATCAGCATTCTCAAGTGAGGAATCCTACCTACTGTGCCACTAGCACCCCTGAAAGCCAGCACAAAGTCAGTGCTTGAAAACCTCTCTGTACAGACCCATTCTGAAATGCCAGAGGCAGGCTCAAGCTGGAAGGACTGGCTGGACTGCCTGCAGTGCAGTCTCCAATTGGATGCCCTGACTCACTGAACCCAGAAAGCTCCTCCTTTCCTGCAACACATGAGGTAGGCAGGATTGGTACAGCAGGTGTCTGTGAAGGGTCACCTTAACACCACTGCAGGACACACAATGCATTGCTGATGCCAACTGTACTTTTCCTTCATCTATAAAATAAAGGAGTTTCGGAGCAAGCTGTTTAGAAAAGGAGCTCAAGTCAGGAGCTCAAGGAGCTCAAGTCAGGAGAGCCTGGAAAACACATGCTGTGTTTGCTAATCTCTCCAACAGTTTAATACTGCTGTGCTGTACCCCATGCAAAAATGAAGTCACTCTTTTAATGACTTAAAACAGAATTCCTCCTTTAGTGGCAGCTGCAAATTCAGATACCCAGAATGACAAAGGAAACCAAGATTGTGTATGTTAGACTTCAGAATTTTGAAGCCTGAGGCACCTTGTGCAGTGC